TATAGCGTGCTATCGACCAATATACGGTACATATCATCGGTTCTGATCTCTGGATGAGTTGCGAGCGCCAGTGCGGTAGCAGGGCTCAAAATCACTGTGGTAAACCAGTCAGGGAGCCGAGGTCATGGTTTTACGCAGTGGTTGGTCAGACTGGAGAACGGTAGAACATTCGCAGTGTCAGTTCGCTGACCAACCACAGAAAGCATGGTTACGAACTTACTCTTACCCTGTTGTTTATATTCGGCATCAGTTCAGTTCAGTTCAGTTCAGTTCATTTATTCACGCTAATCCGCTTTCGCGGCTTTTCATTAACGCAGTGTCATATAACGTAAAAACGAGTAGTTATAGATAAATGAGCATACACACATACATTCGTACAAAACATCGCAGAAGAGTTGCCATGTCAGTGTCAGTGATAAATTGTTATGCTGCCTGCTTCAGAAGTAAAAATCTTCTGAGCGCATATTTAAAAGATGTTCGGCCGTCATAAATTTCACAAAACTGGTTGTACTCGTCCACGCCCCCGTACACCAGTTGTCTCCTACCTGCCTCGGTACGTATTCGCGGGAAACGTAGTCGGCCGGCATTCCGCGTGTTGTGGCCATGGCCGGCAGCGGTGACCAACGTGCTCGCGATCTCGCTTGGGTGGCCGGACTCGACAATGCGTCGTACACCGCACACCCTGTGGTACAATACCAGGTTGTCAGCCGTCAACCATCTTAAGCTGCGCAACACGTCGGATACATGGTCTCGCCTCCGTCGGCCACTTATCACACGAGCGCAGAAATTCAGCACTTTCTGCAGTCGACGCCGCTCTATAGCTCCGCAGGTGCCATACACGGAAAGGCAGTAACGCAGAGTTGATACTACTAACGAGGTCACGATTGGTTTCATGGTCAGTGTTGGTAATACATGCCTCGCGTGGTTTAACCCTCGCCGGCCGAGGGGGGGGGGGGGGCGGGTGCCGCCCCCCCCCATAGGGTTTTTTCGCAATAGCTCCGAACACGCTGGCGATAGAGAGCTGAAACTTGGCATACCTGACCTTTGATCCAAGCCGCATCTTTTGACACCAACCGCATTTTTGGGTCAGGTCAGGTCACTGACCTATGACGTCATAAGTGAACCTCTGCACGGTCTTCAGATGTCGCAACTTCGCAACGCCCTCACTGCCAGAGGAGTTGTCACAGGGAAATGAAACTTGCAGGATCTAGTATCCATTATGAGTCCCACAACTTGTATATCTCGGATTTTTCCTAAAGGTCATATGAGGTCAGGTCATTTTCGTGACCTCACCATTATAAGTCAATGGGGGAAAATGAAAACTGCTATTCTGGCGCCGGGAACGATCTCCAACTATCTCAAGCACACAAAATCGTGATTTTATGCACTCCTTGCAAGGTTAGATGCGTCACTTTTGTAATGTTGACCTTGCGTGACGTCATTTATGACGTCATCAAGGTCATATTAGTTTTTCGTCAATAACTCTTGATCAAATTGAGCTAGCGAGTCGGGAAAGCCACCAATCGGCTCAGGAAGACCTGCCGAATCGAATGATATGCGACATGACCTCTTTCGACCAACTTCGTGACCTGGGGGTGCTGGCCTGACCTTGACCTGAGGTCAACACCCCAAGTTGACCTGACCCGGACAAAAAGTATATCATTCGACGCGCCTGAGCGAGACGAACACGATGCTGCCAAAATCGGCGCTCTGCGGCCGTTTTTTGCGAAGTTATTCACCAAAAACTGAACCGTACCTTGGGGCACTTGACCTGACCTCAGAGGTCACCGGTTGACCTAGGACCTTAAAATCGGGTACCAATCTCTGCGTCTCGTAACGGCGCACACGCTCGTTTTTTCCGCGACGCGCTAGCTCCACCAGGGGCGAAACGGCGAGGGGGGGGTCGTACCCGCCCCCCCCCCCCCTCGGCCGGGGCGTATGTAGAAAACCAATAGGTCCGGCGAGGGTTAAGGCCAGGAGTGATCCGGTACACTTTGAGACGACATGGTTCACATGACTATGGAAAGTTAAGTGCTTGTCCATCACAACGCCTAGATTTTTCACAGTTTCGGACTCGTGCATAATAGTCCCAGCGAACCGGATGCTCACGGGAGGCATATCTCGCAGCATCTGGCGGGTGCCAAACACTATCATCTGGCTTTTTGTCGCATTCACCTTCATATCATTAGCGCAGAACCAGTCAAATAGCTTTGATAGTGCACGTTCCATCTTCGATATTAATTGACTCAGATTCGTTTTTTTTGCCGGTCACTAAAATCTGCGTATCATCTGCGAACTGAACAATGCTGACTTCAGGAACATGCAGGCACATATCATTGGCGAAAATGGCGAATAGCAAACAGCTGAGGGAACCGCCCTGATACACACCGGATGTGATGGGGAGCGTCTTTAAGTATGTGTATGAACCGTCTGTATGTCGCATTTTTACTTGTTGTGAATGTCCGCGCAGGTAATCGCTTAGCCATGGAGCGTCAATGTTGTAAAGGCGAAGCTTTGCAAGCAATTTGTCGTGACAAATTACGTCGAAACACTTTGAAAGGTCGAGCAGTACTAATGTAGCGGGTGCAACAGCGCTCCGTTGCTAGCGACGGCGCCGTAGCGTGTGCAACCCAGCGGCGGCGTCGTAAACTAGTAAATCCTTTTGATGCACGCAGATGTCAGTGATTGATTGACACATATGTCTTGTGATTGTTTTCTGCCTTATATGTTATCTCTTGTAACCGTAGCTGTTGTATTGTCACGCCTTAAGAGGGTAATCTAGGAGCGCAGGTGTGGAGTAATTTTTCTTTGTCCAACTGTCACTGGAATTTGTAATATTACCATTTAGACGCTGAAACTACCTATGCAAGGTAGCCTTGCTAGAAATATAGTGTGCCAATTTTTGTTCAATAAATCAGTACGATCCACGATCGGTAACTCGTTCATCCTAGTCAAGCTCAGAGCTACCGACACGGGCCCACATCGGGAGTCTCCTCCTCCCTTGGAGTTGTGTGGTGCCGACGGTGGCGGATGGTAGTCTCTGCCTTGACAATCCTTTCACTCCCTCTCACAACGAGAGGTGGACTACTAGCGGTATACACTGCTAGCGGTTCAAGTGGCGACCGGCTACTCTCAGCCGTGCCACATTGGTGACACCCGACTCTGGACTCACCTGCCAGACACTTACTCCTGGCCGTCTCACTGGCCCCGCTGTGGTACGGACCACTACTGGCCTGCTCACCTGCCAGACGGCCACTTTCGGACTTCCACCTTCTCTCGCTGCGGCGCGGACCCCCAAGGCACGCAGGATTCGCCGCAGCACGCAGGATTCGCCGCTGACTGGGGGTACGCCATCAACACGCCAGCGGATTGTGATGCCTTCCCGGACCTCTGTAACGCAGCGAGCGTAGTGGGCAGCGGCCAGGTCCGGGAGGAGCAGTGCGTCGTCTCGGGCTCTCAGTGTACAGTGTTAACCCCCGGACCACGGTAGCGCAGCGAGCGCAGTGGGCCGCGTCTTCGGCGTTCCGCGGCTGAACTTTCTGGGACACGACGTCAACTGTGACGGCATCGCCCCACTGCCGGACCGGGTGGCAGCCGTCCGGGACTTCCCGCTGCCTCGCACCGAGCGCGACCTTCGGCGTTTCATCGGAATGGTAACGTTTTACCACCGATTCATGCCCGACGCCGCCGCCCTGCTTCGCCCTCTGCACCGGCTGATCACACAACGCAACGCCAAGAGCGCTCGGCCCGTCCGTTGGACTGACGAGGCCCAGTCGACCTTCACCGCCGTCAAGGCGCGCCTGGCGGACACCACCCGACTGGCACACCCTCTGCCAGGTGCACCACTCAGCATCCAAGTGGATGCCTCGGATGTCGGCGTCGGCGCGGTCCTCCAACAGTTCGTGGACGGCTGCTGGACACCGCTGTCCTACTTCTCCAAGACGCTCAAGCCTGCCGAAACGCGCTACAGCACTTTCGGGCGCGAGCTGCTGGCCTGCTACCTCGCCATCCGGCACTTCCGCCACAGTGTCGAGGGCCGGGAGTTCATCCTGTTCACGGACCATCGACCCCTGGTGTCGGCTGTGGGGTGCAGCTCCGATCGTCACGCTCCTCGCGAAACTCGTCACCTGGACTTCGTCAGCCAGTTTACTACTGATGTCCGTCACGTTCCCGGACGGAACAACGTAGTGCCGGACGCGCTCTCTCGGATCACGACCGTGCTCTCCGAACCTCGACCACCCCTGGACGACTTCGAGACTCTGGCGACGGCCCAGCAGACCGATCGGGAGCTCCAGGCGTTCGTCGCCACTCGTCACTCCCTCCGCCTGCGCTCCGTCGAGCTGCCCAGTGGTTCAACGCTGCTGGTGGACGAATCTACAGGTCGCCCTCGGCCACTGCTGCCAGAGGACCTCCGGCGACCCTACTTCCGACTTTTGCACAGCCTGTCACACCCGGGCGTCCGTGGCACCCAGCGCGACGGCGCCGTAGCGTGTGCAACCCAGCGGCGGCGTCGTAAACTAGTAAATCCTTTTGATGCACGCAGATGTCAGTGATTGATTGACACATATGTCTTGTGATTGTTTTCTGCCTTATATGTTATCTCTTGTAACCGTAGCTGTTGTATTGTCACGCCTTAAGAGGGTAATCTAGGAGCGCAGGTGTGGAGTAATTTTTCTTTGTCCAACTGTCACTGGAATTTGTAATATTACCATTTAGACGCTGAAACTACCTATGCAAGGTAGCCTTGCTAGAAATATAGTGTGCCAATTTTTGTTCAATAAATCAGTACGATCCACGATCGGTAACTCGTTCATCCTAGTCAAGCTCAGAGCTACCGACACGGGCCCACATCGGGAGTCTCCTCCTCCCTTGGAGTTGTGTGGTGCCGACGGTGGCGGATGGTAGTCTCTGCCTTGACAATCCTTTCACTCCCTCTCACAACGAGAGGTGGACTACTAGCGGTATACACTGCTAGCGGTTCAAGTGGCGACCGGCTACTCTCAGCCGTGCCACACTAAAATGGATATTTCGCCACTGTCCATCGCACGGTACACTTTGTCGGTTATCACAGATAAGGCGGTTTCGGTGGAACGATTTCGCCGGTAGCCATGCTGTGCGTCAGTAAATAAATGATGATCGTTAAAATACTCGGCGAGCTGACCCTGTACTACACGTTCGCAGACCTTCATAATGGCTGGTAACATTGATATAGGCCTCGTGTTACACGGTTTGTGGCTGTCTGAGCTTTTTGGTAAGGCGGTAACTAATGCGTGTTTCCAAGTTGCTGGCACTATTCCGGTCTCAAGACTACAGTTGACAATATCTACTAGTGCTGGTCCTGCACCATGAAAAAATCGTCTAAACATGTCGACACTTACTCCTTCTAAGCCTGTGTGACTTGACTTGTTCATAGAGCTTACAATACTATACAGGGTATCTAAACCGACAGAGTGCAGTCGAAAAACGCAGGACATCACACGCGGGAGTAAACTCGGTATCGCCGTCTGCGGCGCCGGCACACTGGCCGCCGTTGTCGGACCCACACGCACGTAGCACTCATTGAGAGCGTCCGGTGTGCAGGCCGGCGGGGCAGCGGCGGTACCCTTCCCCGACCCAATGACTGGCCGCAGCACCGACCACATTCGCGTCGGCCCGGCTTCCCGCAACTGGTCGGTGTAGTAGGCGGCGTGGTCTCTCCTAATTGCGGCTCGGCACAGTCGGTTTACATCCCTGTAGTCAGCGCGGTTCTGACCGGGACCGAGCAGCGCGCGCCGCCGCGCCAGCAGGTCACGTGTCGCGTCCGTGATACGCGGGGCGCCCGGCGGAGGGAGTCTCACGCGCCGGCGGGGCGCCACGCGGTCCAGCAGAGATGTAAATGTCCCGAGAAACGCAGCCCACTTGCCGTCCGGCGAGGCGGCGCGATGCAGGTCGGACCAGTCGCTGGTTGACAGTAACCAGTTGAACTCGGCGTCGTCGATGCGAGAGATCGGGCGCGCCTCGGTAACGGCTCTCCTCCGACCTGCAGCACTCACGTGACGCAGCACTATTCGGGTAAAATCGTGAGGTGATCCATAGTGGCACCTGGTGACGCCTCGACGAGTCACTGCATCTGGTCGGTTGGTAGCGATTATATCGAGGAGTGTGCCGGCAGGTCGATAGGTAGCACAAGTCGTGTTAGCGAGATGAAAACCATAAGTTGACAGTAACTGCGTCAGCTGAGCACCCAAGTGAGGTTCTCGTTTTTTTATGCACAAGTTAAAATCACCAGCAACCACAACAGTAGCGCCAGGGTGCTGAGCCATGAGGTGCTGCAGCTGCATCTCGAAGTCGTCGAGATCGGCGTCGACCTGCTGTCGGGTGTTGGTCGGGTGCCGGTAGACGGCTGCGAACAGGAGCTGCCGATTCTGCCGCACTCCGACCTTAGTCCACAAAATCTCAAGGTTTGACCTGTCTCGATCGGTGGTGACCGGGGTTGGTAGCACTGCCACACTGTAACACTGCTTGGCTAGAATTGCCACACCGCCGTGTCCTTTTGGTAGTCGGCTGGAGACAGGCCTGTCCGTTCGGTGTATCGTGTAGCCATCGACACCGATCAGACGATTCGGGACACTGGGCACGAGCCACGTTTCACTGAGAGCGAGTACATCAAAGTCGTAGAGTTCAGGTAAATCGTGACGTAGGTCTGGAAGTTTGTGTTTCAACGATTGACAGTTGAGTTGTCCGATTAGGAGTTCTCCTCGGTGATCGCGTCTCCATCTGGCGCCGCCCCTGCATCCGCGGTAGTTGGATCATCGGTGGCGCCGGCCGCCGGAGCGCTCCCCCGCCGCGCAACCGGTCGGGTCAGCGGCGGCGCCAGGCGTTGTCCCGGTGGGCGCGGCAGTGGTCGCTGGGCGCGCACGGAAGCTCGGAGAGTGCGCGTGCACCGGGGCAGAGGGGCGCGGAAGCTGACCTCCCCCTCCATCGAGCGCCGGAGCGCGCCGCAGCCGCCACGGCGCTGTGGCGGGCCGGGCCGCGTGCAGGACGGTCGCCAGGAAGTGAAGGTAGAGTAGTGAGCGTAATATCTCACGTTTCATGGTCGAGTGGTGGTGGTGTGCAGTAGTGACGCCAGAGGCCACGAGTCAGCCGCGGTCAACTCAGAAGGTGAGCTAAGGTCTACGGCTGAGTGCAACCGCCGGCGTCACCGGTTGTAGGGTCGAATCTGGCTCGTTAAATCCACCGACTCGATTGGCGGTATCACTAAGTCGTGACGCCGGCAACTGTTCGCGATACTGTCACAATCACACACATCATTCATGTGACAACCAGATCCATACAGGGACGTTCCATACAGTTCCGTTTAACGGCCACAACGGTTCGCTCCATTTATCGGAGCAAACAGTGCTACCACAGATAACAGTAGTACTGGATTGGAAACAGGATTCCGTGGCTGCAGTAAGAGGCCGAAAACAGAACCGAATATTTCGTGCCCAGACTTCGATATCTTCTCACACAGGCAAACAAAAAATTGGTTTATGTGAATGAAACTCATTAAGAAGCAATCTAGCCGTGCTCGTGTTTAGTGCTGCATTTTTGCATAATGGCAATTTATTTTAAAGAATCGTAAGTGGTTAAGCGTTCTGAGGAATATCATCATGAGAAGTATGCGCATCTGGCTGACCTTATCCTCACTTCTGTATGGAAATATGAAATTGCCAAAATAAATTACTGTATTAAAAGTCGAGATATTTCGAGCACAGCTCTTCGTCGGTCGATTCACATGTCATAATACATGTCTGCCACATGTATTAAAAGTCGAAATATCTCGACTTTTAATACAGTAATTTATTTTGGCAATTTCATATTTCCATACAGAAGTGAGGATAAGGTCAGCCAGATGCGCATACTTCTCGCAATTTATTTTACTAAACATTGCTGGTTACACTTTCCTCGCCGTGGTGAGGGAACGTATGCCACTGATTTGATTATACTGATTTCCCACTCTCATCCACAAAAAGTACTTGTACATGGGAGTTTGATCTCTTTATTTACATGCTAATCGACACCAGTCCTGTCACAACAAACCATCCAAACGTCACAATTCAAACCAACGTCACAAAACACCCCTTCAAGTGTCACTTCGCTTCGCCTGCCCTCCCAATTTCATCAGCGACCTTACTTCCCCGCCTTACATCTTCTTGACCCTGCTGAGCTTTGGCCTCTTGTCGCTCCTCGATCGGGTTGCACCTGGGGTGCAACCGAATTGCCGCTGGGGTGTCTGCTTCCTGACTTTCGATGGACAGGCACGGTCTTGAGTGTCTGCCTCATTTATCAGTTACCATGTTTCCACACTTTCCAGCAAATAGATTGAAAACCGTCGCATACATCTCTGGAAGGAGGCTCCTAAGGACGTCGTGGCTATCATTGCAAACGACTTCCGGTCAGTTCGACATCCCGGTTTAGGACTATCTTCGTCACTTCTTGGTTGATCGCAGACCAGCAGCTGGTTCCTGTTAGCTTTCATCTTCGGCAGTTGCCTCCAAATATGGCAGATCCTCACGGTGAGGTCGATGTCTTCCTCGTCTTTCTCCAGTCGTACCTCCAGCGGCGTAGCCCCAAGATAGATCAGCAGGCTGGCGGAGGCACCGTACTTGTTACGCCTGGTGGCCGAGCGTGCCAAGGCGCCAGAGCTGTGTCCCAGGGAGGCCTTGGCGCTGTCATCCAGGTCCTCCATTTCAGTGGATTTCGCCACCGCGGCCACTGGCTCCTGGATGACAAGAGCACCATCCTGCTGTCGCTCCTGCTGTGATGCTGATGGTGCCATTCGGGCGGAGGCGTCGGCGGGGCTGAAACGTGACCAGTGACCACCATCTGAGGCCCTTAGTTCGACTTCGGAGTACCGCCTCATTCTCCAGGAACTGTCGGACACTCGACCAGTTGTAGTTGCCACCTGATAGCTGACATTGTCATTCGTTAAGAACGCATCGGTCTGGTCTTTCATAACCTGCTTCTGGTGTGAGTGGCGTGCGGATGCCATGGCTAGTTTCGCTGGCCGCTCGTGCACAGGGGGCATCGCGTAATCCACGCTGGTCAATACTGACAGGACTGCGCCGCTCTTGAGCCGACGGCGCTGTCTCTGCATGCCGGTGCGAAATGACCGATCATCTTCGAAATCTTCCTTTCTGAAATGCAGCTCACACATGCAGCGGAATAGTCCTGATTTCACTCAGCCCGGTCACGGTGACCCATGGCGCCAACCCACTGAGCCCGTAGAGATGTTTCGGTGAGAAAAGCGAATAGGTGGCATGTGAGACAGATTCTCCTGTTTTAATTTTTTGTTCCTCTTGGATCGTTGGGTTGTAGCCAGAACGGCAGGTTTTTACCGCTCATTCCCCTCCTCCATTGCTGATGTACAGTCCACAGCAGAAGTAATGTGGGGTTTCAGTCATGGGTATGTTCTGCTTCTGAAGCTTAGGAACGATTAGTCAGACTACAATGAAACTTTGAATGTAGCTTATATGTATCGTCACCCTTGCAGCTGCAACTTTAGCTATTGACATCTTCTTTTCGATCACTCCGCATTAAACAATCGCCAGTCAAAGCCAACCGTTGAGATTGGTAAAACCCTACATTACTTAAGCGGTGGGCTGTACCTATACGTATGTAAGGCTTTGCACCACACTTTGTTTTCAAAAGAAAACACCACGCATTGTGCACTCTAAATAATCAAATTAAAAGTGAAATACTTTAATTTTTTAAGCAAATGAAAGTAACATTGGTAGCTTCGATTTTAAATGTAAACGACAAAACACAAAAATGACGATTTCTTGCAATACACAACACACAAATTATCCACCCAGCAGCACGCGAGAATCCCATTTTGGCGCCGTCGCATAAAAACATTCGGCCTCTTACTGCAACTGCCAATATTCTGTTTCCAATCCAGTACTACTGTTATCTGTGGTGCTACGCATACGGCTCAGAAAGCTTCTCAGCTTGCGAAAAGAACTTGTCAAGGCACACAGCCTCAAATAGCATTGGTACAAAATCCCCTGATTCGGCACATTCATATCAACCGCGATAAGATTCCCAGCCGTGAAGTGGGCATGCCACAGATAGGCACACAGTAGAACCACTTATCACCGTATCATTAGCTCGATGTTTAGAGCTGCATTGACTCGCAAAGTGGAGCTGAGAGTAGGACGGTGGACTCAGGGACATTCGCACACATCGATCGCAGCACAGCCGACAACAGCCGCCCTTGACCAGTGGCGGCGACAGTAGCAGTATCTGAGGAGATTACACGGCGCTATCCGCGAACGTCGTCTGCCCGCAGCTCCAACGGGTCGCCCTGCGGCGCCGGCAGCTCCCAGTGGGGCGCCGCGCCGTCCTCCACTCCCTCCTGGAGCAGCAGCGGCTGGTCTCCGTCCGCCCCCTGCAGCAGCAGCTGGCCGTCAGCGCCCTGCCCGCTCAGCACCAGCTGCCCGTCAGCGCCCTCCCCGCTCAGCACCAGCTGGCCGTCAGCGCCCTCCCCGCTCAGCACCAGCTGACCGTCAGCGCCGTCCCCGCTCAGCACCAGCCGCCCGTCAGCCTCCTGCAGTATCAGATCCACCGTATCTGCCGCAGCACCGTCAGCCAGCACCAGCTGCTCCCCGTCCTCCTCCCCACCGCGCACCGTCGCCGCTCCGGACTCATCGATAATCAGATCCAACCGCCGCCCGGCGGAGGTGAGGCACCGCAGAGCCGCCGCCGTCGACGCGTCTCCCGCCTGTCCGTCGGCAACGAGCACCTCCTGATTGCCGTCGGAGTCGACGAGAAGGACCAGCGGCCCGTCGGCGGTGTCGAGCAGCTCGATGGTGTGGGCCTGCTCGCCGGCCGGCGCCGACTCGCTGGTCACCAGGGTACGGTTGATGACGTAGTCGTCCGGATGCTCGCCGTGACTGAAGTGCTCCATGTGCTGCAGCAGAGCCATCTGACGGACGAGTGGAGAATTGGTCACGGAAGGGGAACGCAAGGGCGGCGGAACGTTCAACGATTGCGTAAAAATTAGTTATTGCCAGCATTGCTAAGAAACTTAGAGGGGAAAAGTTTCATTCGTTCAATTATTCATAATTTCATCTTATTATTCATTCTCTCGTTCATTCGCTCATTTATTCATTCCATAGTTCGTGCCCTTGTTCATTGATTGATTGATTGATTGATTCATTCATTCATTCATTCGTTCAGTAAATCATCCATTCACCCATCCACCCACCTTTCGCACGAAGCCCATGCCACACTGGCGGCACTCGAAGGGCTTTTTGTTGCTGTGTGTGAACATGTGGGCACGCAGGTTGTCCCGCCTGCTGAACGCCTTGCTGCAGACGTCACAGCGGTGCGGCTTCTCGCCCGAGTGGGTCTGCAGGTGCAGTTTCAGATGCTGCGGGTAGATCATCTTCATGGGGCAGTGCGGGCAGCTGAGCGGCCGCACACCCTCGTGGGACAGCATGTGGTACTGCAGTAGCTGCCGCCGCTTGTAGCCCTTCCCGCACAGCGTGCACTTGAACCGGCGGTCGTTCTGGTGGACATACCGCATGTGCATGGCTAGGTTAGAGCGTAGGGAGAAACGCATTGCGCAGATCTCACACTCGAACGGTTTCTGTCCGGAGTGGGTGCGCACGTGGTCCCTCAGAGAGTACTTGGAGCGGAACTCCTTATCACAGAGTTTGCAGCGCCAGGGCGGCCCGGCCAAGTGCTGCAGCAGGTGGTGCGTCAGCCTCTTCTGCGAGTCGAAGCGTCGCTCGCAGTCGGGCTCTGGACAGGCGATCAGCTGTGGCTCGGGGTGTTGCTCCCGCTGGTGACGCTGCAGGGCCGCCTTGTTGGCGAACTTGAGCCGGCACTCGGCGCAGTGCGGCGGCCCCGGCCGGCCCTTGTGCGCGCGCAGGTGGGAGCGGTAGCGCACTCGACTGGCGAACGTCTGGCCGCACTGGCCGCAGGAGATGTGCTCGCCGCCCGTGTGGGTGTGCATGTGGTCGAGAAGTACCAGCTGGGAGCGGCAGCGCAGGCCGCACTCGCCGCACTGGTAGGCGCGGGGCACCTGCGGCGGAGAACAGGAGCGGGACGTCACAAAACAGGGTACGGATGGAGAACAGTGAACAGAAAGCGAACATATCGAGGAGTAGTAACTTCACAACACAGGACAGATGCGAATCAGAAGACACTCCATTTGAAAACTAAAATATGCAATTACTAGCTGCTTTGTCACCTAAACCAGTGATAAAATAAGCTGGGGTGCAGCGAAAGTACACTATTTTACAACAAGAAAGGCGACACGGGATACATATGGCCTTGAATCATCCAATAACAACATACCTTGTGGAATTTCTGATGCCTCCGCACCAGTTTGGGCAGGGTGAACGACCTGTTACACATCGGACAGGGGAACTTGGCCTCAGTGTGGGTCCGCTCGTGTTTCAGCAGCTCCCGCAGCATCGCGAACGAGTCGTGGCACACCTGACAAAGAACAATCGACGTCAGAACAAATGGTGGAGCAGAACGGACAGCGATTCTCTTTCTTTAGACGACCTCACACTGACGTAATAGGTACCTCTTCCTAAATAGACGAGCCTCATAGGTGCAATGACTTAGGTCAAACCCCATAGCCATAATTCCTGCATCTAGTTTCATACGAACCTCGCAGACATAGAGCCCGTTCACGCGCCGGCTGCGGACCGAAACGGTCCACTCCTCGCTGGTCTCTGACTGCTCTGCCTTTACAGTGTCCTCTCCGTCCTCAAACTCTTCCTCAATGTCCTCACCGTCCTCCCTCGGCTCCACGTTCTCGTCCTCCCTGTCCTCCTTTGTTGCAGCAAATCGAGATGACTTAAGGCGCTTCTGAGAACACAGGACCGAAAATGTAATCAGCCTATGGTGTCTCAAGTATCATAGCCTACGTTATCTCAAGTATGATGGCGATTAGCGAGAGTTCAAATGTAGCGCTCGAACATTCTGTCTGATCTCGCGGTATGCTGTTTACAATCACGCCCTACCTCGGCTATGCGGCTGTTGACGCGCTCCATGGCCTCTGCCAGCCGGCGGCGGTGGGTGACGTGGGAGGGTTCAGCCGGCGGGCCCAGCCACCCGAGCGTCGCGCTGGACACCGTCCCGACGACCTGGGGGCGGAGACGCGCGGTCAGAGACGAGACAGAGGCATATACCAAACATACACCTGGCGCCATGCTCTATGTTTTGTGTTTAGGAGTGACAGTCGTGGCGATAAAAATATTAGGTACGTAACGATTTGAGGTAGACATGCAAAGAGTAAATTTGGTCTAGGCATAATTGAAATTGATAATTGAAAATGACATCGTACAGGCTACACCTACACGTATCCCGCACAGATTTGGGGAGTGCACCCGACCACCACTCCGCAATTCAACTGACCTGACTATCCCGCTCCGCCACTCTGTCCTGCGCCTCCAGCCACTGCTCTCCTCCCTCCTCCCGCTCGCTCTTCACAGCTGTATCTCCGCTGGCCGCCGTTCCCGGTCCGACGGGGCGGTCCGGTCCGGACGGCGGGCCGATCGGGTCAGACACCTGGTTCGGTAGGGCAGCTCTGGCCGTCATATACTGTAACTGAAAACAAACGGGGACCAAGTGAGGAACTAGTAAATAGTGAAGCGGTGTCTAATTAGCTGACAAAGACGCGGCAACACAATGCATACACAATCGTTTGAACGAAAGTTGCAAACTGAGTTTGCACTCCAATAAATGCATTTTCCTGCATAAAGGCTACAAACCACGATACGTGATGATCGTGCTTATACAATTCGAGATCGAAAAGACAGAAAGACAGCCTTGCATGTCATAAGTTTGCCCATTTTTCTGTAGCCGGCCGATATTATGCTAAGCATACTGAGCTACACTGAGTTATGCCCGGTTATACTGCGCTATCATCCTGTGCAGATCCCTGCCCTGCACACCTACCTTCCTGTGCAGCTCCCTGAAGGTCCGCTGTGTCCCATCCAGCTGTGTCTTCCTGGGACGACCTCTGCCGCGCTTGACCGGGGGCTGAGGCGCCGGTGACTCTCCAACTGCCTGCTGATCCTCAGCGCTTGACGGATCGTTTGACTTTGACAGCCCGTCAGCGTTTGACGGTCCGTCAGCGGACGACGGGTCGTCGGCGTCCTCAGTGGAGTTATCAGCAGCCGGCGGTTTGGGTCGTTTTCGGTGGTAGGGCCGAGGCCGAGGAACCAGCCGATCGGAAGGACCCAGGCGGACCACCTGACGAGAGACAAGGAAAATAAATCGGTCAGCGGTGGGCAGTGGCTGATACACTGGTGATCCTAGATCTACGACCATTCACGCCATAGTGCAACGCTATCGCAGGTCAGCGAGGCTCCTAGGGATTCCAAACTACGCCAGCGGTTGACATACACGACTCACCTGGACCGTTTCTTGCACCTTGATCTTAGCCGGACGGCGGCCCTTGGTGGCGGTTACAGCAGGGGCGGGGGCGGGGGCGGGGGCGGTAGCCGGCGCGGCGCGGACCTCGTTCACCTCTGCCGGTCCCGCAGCGCCCGTGGCGTCTCCGGCCACCAACTGGACGTATATGGTGCGAACAGGCCGGTCTGGTGGCTGGGAGGCGGCAGCAGCAGCAGATGAGACGGGCTGCACCACCTGGATAGTATCAAACGATACATGGGTTTTACAAACAATGGAGACGGTAAAAACTGCGCAAGATGAGTGTCCAAGAGCCACTTCGCAACTGAGTCACGAACTACATAATTTCAGTTCCGGATTTACAATCCCAACAAAAAAAGAGCTCTTAAAAGAGCACATTAGAAACGAGCCGAATAAAAATATCACCGAAATACAGAGCATTATGATTTTCGTGCTAGTTTCAGCGAGCTCTACGACACATAACCGACTTACCTTGGATGTGGGGCGAAAGTCCCTGCTGTCCTTATTATTCTGTCGGTCGCTGTTAGCTTTCTGTGGTCCTCCTTCAACAGCCTGAACATCACCAAGCAATTCCCCAACCCCGTCATCCACCGGTGCTTCCAGCCCACCGTCATTGCGGCCGTACTCTTCCAATCCTTCCCCTCTCAGGCCGTCACCCCTCCCGGCCTTCTCGAGTCCACCGCCCGTGTCTGGCCGACCGCTGATGTTCAGTAGGTCCGAGCTCCGGTCAGCCGACGGGCCTCCTGTTGTCAGTAGCGGTAGTGACGGCGAGGGCAGGCCGGCCTCCTCCTCGTGGTCGGCGGTTAATTGGAGCAGCATTTCGTCCAGAGGGGTGAGGTGGCCCGCCGGATCCTCGGGTACTGCTTGAGAGTCGGGTGGACCTGGTGAGAGAGTATGGGCGTTAGTTGCATGTTGAAAGGTGCTGACAGTTCAAAGATAGATAGTTCACAGGCATCATCAGAAATCGCGTTACCATCTACCTCTCATCCCATCTCACTGACCGTTAGGCCTCCTGGCACCGGCAGCAGCAGCGCCGGCCCGCAGCCGCCCGCCCATCGCCCGCGCCCTCCGGTCGGCCCTCACAGCCAGTAAGTCCAGCTGGTTCAGTCTGGCCACACAGCGGCCACACACCCTGCTGCCCGCTGACGAGCCCGGCTCCGGCGGCTGGGAACACAGGGAGGTGGGAGCTCTCTGAGATACGGTACAGGTCTTTGAATGATGGCTCCAGAAATGACAGAAAATAATGATATGTTATTTTACTACAGGCAACACACTAAATAACATCAGTGACAGAGAGAACCAATTCCTACAGTCCTTTTATAGTCATTTGTGCATGGGCCATGGTATAGGTTAGTAATTATCATAAATGACAAATGAATGAATGAATGAATGAATGAATGAATGGGAGCTGCAATGAATGAATCAGACAATAAGTGAGTGGATGGATGGAGTAATGAATAAAGAAGAATCACTAAATTTTGTGTGAAGAATGCAGCTACACACCTCAGAACCATATATTACTTAATGTTAATATTAGACAAATAATAGTACCAATTCAGCTTACCTTGGTCATAAATTTTGCAAGAATATTAGCCAGCAAGGTTGAGCTGAACTGTGCCTTGTCCCAGAATGCATTGGCAGTATCATGCACTGAGAGCAGAGAATGACAAGCTATGCAGGAGGTGGCTGAGGCATCCCTGAAATGAACAAAAACAGCCCTCAAAAGCAATGTCAAATGCTACTTGAAAATAACAAATAAGCTTCCATAAGAGCATTGCAAGACTAGATTTCTGTGTAATATCTCATACAACTGAGCCATTTTTATTACGGAGCGAGCGAAGCGAGCGTAGTCTTTCCTTAGATTAACAGAAATTTCTGAGTATGAGCGGCCGGCCGGCCGGCCGGCCGTGGTCACGCTTTTGCGAGGCTTATATCTCAGCAACCACTTGACCGATTTACACGCGGTAATTTTTGTAGGGTAGCTTCATTCCTTCTACCAAGTATTGGACTATTCCCGATGCATGTGGGTGACCCCTTATGCACGTGCCACGTGAAATACGAAGAGGTGTCAGTTTTGTAATTGTTGCAATATCTCGGTAACTACTTGGCCGATTGCGCTGAAAGTTGGCATGTAGGTAGGCACCCACTAGGCACTGCATATACATGTGCCAGAGTTGGGGTGCTGCTGCACGTGCGCACGTGCAGGGGTCGTTTCCAGATCTCGGGAACGGCTGGACCGATTGCGCTCAAATTTGGTACACGGTTAGGGACCGGTTAGTAGGGTGCCGTGCACAAGTCAGTTGGGACCCATTTTGCACGTGCGCACGTGCAGGGTGTCGCTTCCAGATCTCGAGAACGGCTGGGCCGATTGTGCCCAAATTTGGCACATCGCTAGAGACCAGTTAGTAGGGTGCCGTGCACAAGTCAGTTGGAGGTACCCCCTCGCAATTTCGCACGTGCAAGGCCCACCCTCTCGCTCGCTCCGTTAGTCGCCCCAAAAGGCGTTATACTGGTGACTATTGTAAGTACAGCCATGGAATAATTCAGGGGTTAGGGGTTCATTGACCACTGTCTTATCATACACCACACCATCAACTCACAGTGAATCAGATGCCTTCCTGCAGACCCTGGCCAGGGAGGCCTCCAGCCGCTGGTGGCGGCCCCGCAGCTGTTCCACCCCCTGCAGCTGACGCAGGCAGCTCAGACACAGTGTAGCGGAGCAGAGGTCAGCTGCCCACTGCCGTCCCAGTGCTGCTGTCAGGCGTGCCAGCAGCGGGGCCGTAGTGGAGGCTGACAGATTAGTCCAACTGCCTGGCACTGTCTCGATAGCTGAACAGATTGTGCACTGAGGTGATGCTATTGGTGCCAGCTGAGAGTAAAAGGTTTTCATTTTCAGAGCAGACAAATTGACAATGTCTTGTGATCTTGTGTTCTGTGGGACGAAAAGCAGCTGTTAATCAACACAGTGAAATGATTTAAGTCCAGCAAGAATCCATTTAAATTGGGACTGGGAAAGTACCTAACTATACTTAGAGCATGAGGCTACATGAAATAGCCACAAAGAAGCATGAAAATAGCATTACAGAGAAATGCTCCCACCACATGGAGTCCAATGCTCTACCGAGCTATGGGACCGGCAAGTTCTTGACAAATGAGAGAAGATTTAACTCTGCAGCTCATATCAAAGAAGCTTGAAAAAATACCAAACAAAAACAGCCAATAAGATTATAATTTGGTCTGAAGCAGATTACAAACCTTGTTTGCAATTCTTTGCACAAATTGACTCAAAATCCCATCCAGAATCTTAACCCTGGAAAATCCCCGAAATGGATATACTGCATACGAGTATTTGCACAATTTTCTTACCTTCAAAAGTAAAAACAATTACGAACAATGATAAATTTATCGTTTCATCTATCAACATACAAGTGGATTGTGGGCGGCGCCATGTTGTACTAGTGATGGAAAACTTGAAAAGTACCAAAATGAGGCGTAAATATGAGAGCGAAATTGCTCAAATAAATTCAAAATAAGTGTTTTATCTGTTGTGTTGCAGGATAAAGAGTTTTTGATTGCATTATCAGCTCGAAAAACTTATGAATACTCAGTTATTTTTCAAGAAAAGTACTTTAAAGTACTTGCAGTTCATCTGATCATCTCTAATTTTTCTTGCTGCAAAACTAGCGCAAAAGATTCGTTTGCTGCAAAACTTTAATGTTCAGAGATGAAACGAATCGCTAGGTGTTCTTCCTGTTTCCATGGTAATAAGTTGTAAGCAAATCAAAAGTAAGCATATGACGTCATTGTAAAGAAAACAGACCAATGAACGAGCGGATTTCAGGTGCTTATCAAATGACGTAGCGCTCTGGGATTCGCTAGCGAACTTGTTGAACATTTTGATCTTTGAGAAAACCTTTCGTCCGCCATTTGTCTTTCTTTCGAGCTCGTCGCTGGTCTGGAACTGATAAATTTCTTATTCCCGCTCGACAGACATGAACTTCTCACGGGTAAGTCTGCTTTCTTTGTTGCGCTGATTAAATTATAAAAAATAATGCTCACTTTGATACCTCTTGTCATCTTTATTAATCGTACAAGCATTACCTTTGCTGAGCTTGCTGACAGGATCAGGATGACCGCAAGGTAGGCAGGCACCTAGGTAAGTCAAGATAAGTCATGATGATGAATAAACGCTAGCAAGGGCATGAGTTAATCCTTATGCAATAGCATCCATAAACCCTTGTTGATCTTTCTTTGTTTGTTTTATGTATAAATATTGATTCATACTTGTGACGAGCTGTCCTTTGTCTCAAACACCGAAACAGTACAAGTATCACCACTCACCAGATAGCGAGTAGGTGTATCTATGCTTTAAACATGATAGTTTTGTCAGTTTTCTAGGTCAAAAGAAAAGCTTGACTCAAAGTTAATCTGGCACATGTCCACCCCATACCCAAAAGGTATAGGTATGTCAAGTTTAGGTCCTAACTACGGGCCTGTTCCAGCGCCTCCAGTAGAAATTCTTGACTGGAGGCTCTACCAGAGGTTTTACTGGAGGCGCTGGAACGCAATCTGGAGATTTCTGGAGATCGGTGTCATAGATACCAAAAGAATGACGATTGTTCTATCTTGAAACGCAAAATTTGTTTTCAATTTTAGTAAAAAAGATTAACAAAATTATAGCAATGTAATTTTCTTTACATTCAAGTTGTAAAATTCTCAGTCAAAAGTTCTTTGTTTACATTCATGATTGTCACATGTGCGCCATAATTGTAGACCAGAGCCTCCAGAGAAATTTGGACCTCCCAACTCTCTGGAGGCTACTGGAGGTTTCTGGAGCTTTGGCAAGAGCTTTCTGGAGGCGCTGGAACGCTCTCTGGAGGATTCTAGAGCTTTCTGGAGGTTTCTGGAGGTTTCTGGAGGCGCTGGAACAGGCCATACAATTGTGATGCTGTTGATACGAATATGAAACAGCAAAAATTTTAGGTTTTAGGTTAGGTTAGGTTTGTAGGTTTTAGGTTGTAGGTTGGTAGGTTTGTAGGTTAGGTTAGGGTAGGTTTGTAGGTTGTTGGTTGGTAGGTTATAGGTAAGTAGGTAAGGTTAGGTCAGGTTTGATTATGTTTTTTCTTTTATTTGCAAGGCATATGAGTATTATTTTTGGATTCACGATGTCAAATAATGTAAAAATATGAAAAATTTATCAATGAAATTTTCTTAGGACTTAAACTTGACATTTACCTAATTAAAATTGGGATGTTTGAATGTTGAGATGCTGACAACTGATGTGATTAGAGATGCTAAATAAATGTACTTTTACATTTGCTAATGCAGATATGATCACCTATCAAAATGCAACTGGTGTAGTGTTTGTAATTTGTATTTTTGTAATAAAGTACAAATGATCCCTTAAATTAGTCTTGTATTACATGTCACATTTCCATTGCAATTTCTATAAAGTAGTATATCTACCTTACTATCACCCTTAGGCATGTAATATGCTCATCATTCATTTTTGTTTTTGGACACTGACACACTGTATAGGTAATTAAATGGAGCTATTTATGTGTTTGTAGATGTGTAAGAAAAATTTATATTCTTTCCCTAAGTTTATGATCAACCTTTAAAGTGTTGTCTTTTCTCAAAAACATTAAGATACATAGGTTAATGTTTTGCTTGATTCAGGTTGTTTATGAGCATGATGATAACGTTTTAAAGAACTGCCTGTTTTGTTAGCACTCTTCAAAGCCCTGAGTAAAACACCAAGTGGCAAATACAAAAATTGAAAGGAACCATTGGATACTCTAAAGCTAAAATGCATCACCCTCCAAATAGTGCCAGTGCTGCTCACTGACCTGTGACCTGTTTTACCATGCCTTTTTATGTCAATACTGATACCTATCAGGTAGTTGGCACATACACATACAAATAACTATATACAGCATGTAATTCTTATCAATATCCATACTGCCATCAAATGATTATATTGTCAGATATCAGGCCAAGTCAGTCAGGTTTTACCAGCTATATCCTCTTTTGACTGTAAGTGTTTCACTTTACCCACTCCCATTCCCTCCCCTCTAGCTGCCCCATTGCCCCCTCCCCCTCCAGCAGCCCCCCACTGACGCCCCCCCCCCCCCCGCTCCGTCAGATCGCTCTGCAGTCGGCGCGCCGGCTCACCACCTCTGCGGCGGTGCGCTCCTCGCCCAAGGACGTTCACCCTGGCTACCTGCGGCTGCGCGAACAGTACGCCAAGTTCCAGGTGCAGGACGGCGTGCCCGTCCACCTGAAGGGCGGCCCGGCCGACAGGATTCTCGCCTCGCTCACCTACCTGCTGTGCGCGGTCGCGGTGGGCACCGTCAGCTACACGCTCTTCTACAAGATGGCGTACCCGCAGAAGAAGTGAGCGGCGCGCGGCGGGGCGAGTGAATGAAGGGGCGGGGAGCTGTATTGTACTGGAAACATAGGAAATATACACTGTGTACAGACGAATACTGTGTGTACTGGTTGCGCTGGCGGCGAGAATTACCCGGCTTGTGGAACCCTGTTTTATTCAGTCACTAGTTAACACATTTAGGCTCAACTTGTGAAGGCTGTTCTTGTACCCTAATTTTATTGTTGATTTTTCCGAGCTATGAGAAATCACCATAGGTTTCGAGGGGAAACGATATCATACACCTGGCAACAGGCAGGCATGGCGAGACCAGAATATTGGCGATCGTTCAATAACATCAGCCATGCGGCACATATCCAACAGTCTAATAGGTTCAGTTAATAAAGCTTGTCAGTGTCAACAACGATGGCATTCACCCTATTGTTCACCCTATTGCGTCACATAACGATTTCCTTGTTTCATTAGGCCTGTGGGATAGGAATAAAGCGGGGAGAAAAAGCGCCGAGTTCTTCAATCGGTGGCACGGAGCTATTCAATGGATGGATGGTTCGACTCCATTCAAATTGCTTTGGCAAAGTGTCATGACACTGGAGGTCTTCATTCGAGGTTAAAATATAAGAATCACCATCAACCACGATTGCACAAACTCCACAAATGTCCCAGAACATGATCCGTAATCACCTGCTGATCCACACATCTGTAGTCGGTTCACTCTCCCCCAAACAGTTGCGTCTGCTGCGGCGGGGTGTATTATGGAAGGACCCGTGAGCGCGGTGACTAGAACGGACCGGAGCGTTGGGTGGCCGCCCCGCCCCCGGGAGTTATCACGAGTCGGCGCGGAGGCAAGTGTTAGTAGCTCTATCACAGCACTGTCCTACAGCGGCCCGGGGGAGCGGCGGCGCCCCTCCCGGCCGCCTGACCTTTGGTCCACTGCCGCGGCCCGGCCGGCGCGGTCCACCGGCGGTCTGCAATGGTGACCCGCCCCTGAGGAGCTGTGAGCGCGCAGTATGATCCGCCCCCTGAGGAGCTGTGTGCCCGCAGAGTGACCCGCCCCCTGAGGAGCTGTGAGCGCGCAGGGTGACCCGCCCCTGAGGAGCTGTGTGCCCGCAGTGGCCGCCCTGCTAGCGAATCACCTGTGCCGGCAGGTCCGACAACCGTGCCTCATCAGCCGTGCCGTCATCCGGCGGCAGAAACAGCTCGGCGGCCTTTTCACTAGCTACCATGTCATCCGAATAGTCCTTGTCGCTCTCTTCCGCGCCAGTAAAAACTATCTCATCGTTAGCTGCCTTGGGTTCCTCTACTTCAGAAGCATCTTCTTGAGCAACTGGATCTTTAACATCATCTGTCTCGGGTTCTACAACTTTTTCGCTTTCCTCCGGTGGCGGCTGGGGTTCTTCCTCGTCCTTCGGCCATCGCACATTCTCCGGTACATTGTTGTACAGTAGAAATATGGCGGGGCGCATGCGCAGTCGCAGTGGCGGGAAGTGGTCGTAGTTGAACTGGATGTGTGAGAAGACGTCCACGGAGTCGAGGATCATGTGCGTCTCCTCGTAGGGTTTCAGTGCCGAGGAGCGCTTACCGCGCGCCTCGATCAGCAGGTGGGTGAACGAGTGCATGTCGGGAGATCCCGGCGCCAGGTTCTCAGTCTTGTTGTACCTGAAACAGGACGCAGAACATGCTGGTAAAAAGACACTGGTATACAGAACATGCTCAATATACAACGCACGCCTACCACATCTACAACATATACTACATGCCCCGTCTATCAATGAACTAGCCCCAGTCAGCCGCCCAAGTCTCGGCTGCTCATTCCCTCCTATCCTGCAGTTTGTACTATCCTCATCTCATCTGACCCGCCCACCCCAACCCATTCCTCACCGCCAGTCGTCTCTGTGCTGCAGGAACCTCGTCACCCCGGTCTGCGCGCTGTACACGTCAATGTGCACGTAGGCGGCGTCCGGCTCCAGGTGCTGCAGACGGCCCAGCGCCGCGCCGCCGGGATAGTTGTGGCGCGCCACCGCCGCCAGCAGAGCCGTCAGCGCCACATTGGCCAGCAGGTGACAGCACATGGCCGTGGCCAGGTAGGAGCGCCACGCCGACTTCAGCCGGCCCTCCCAGCTGTCGGCGGGGAACGATGAGGTGGTCAGGGTTATTGAATGAGATACACATAAACGTGCAGTGGTGCCCCGTGGCGATGAATAAAATAGCTATAGAAAATAATATCCAAAGAACTAGTTTGCATACTGCTTATACGCATCCACGGTTCGAGATAGGAAGAACGGCAAAAAAATGTGCATAATTTAGATCGTGGCATGGTCTACAGGCCAGAGTTCCCGCGGTGCGCAACTTTCAGACGATGCCAGTTATCGAGCGATCAACTCCACATACCAGAGGCCCAATTCAACCCACAAACAGTACAACCCTTCACCCCACCGCGCCTTCTGACAGCCAGCTCCGCTATCCACCGGCTCCCGTCTACTCACATGGCATGACAGGCGCGCGCCGCCGCCACGTTCAGCAGCGGCACCACGTAGATAATGAACCGCAGCTCCTTGTGAGGAAGCAGCGAGTAGAGGGCGACAAACGCCAGTGCCGGGCCGGCCAGGAGGCGGGCGCGGCGGTCCAGCGCCAGCCCGACCGGGACGAGCGCCAGGCTGGCGCCCAGCGCTCGGGGCAGGGCAGAGTACCAGTACCACAGAGCGGGGAGGGTCTGAGAGGGCGGCCGTCAAGGAAATCGGGCAACAGGTAGAGTGACGTCACGTGAATTGTGGGACACTTCTAGTGTGTTACGAAATGAAAAACTGACGTGACATGAATCGGTAGTACGCAACAATCGATATAAAGCAACCCAGGCATGGCCGGAGTCACTTCGCTTAGAAAGGAATTAATTACGAGTAAAACAAAGCAAATTAGCTGATCAACTATTATTTTGATATTCTTACACGGTGCTTGATATAGGCCGACACTAGGCAATAAAAAAACACACAGCTAGAAAAGAAAAACAGACATCCCATCTCAAACACTCGTTAAAGGATACGCCCCACTCTGCGGACTTGTTGAGTACCACGTTGAACCAGAGCACCTCGCCCTCCGGCCAGACGGGTCTCCGCCAGAACAGCGAGTCGACCGTGAACGAGAGCAGCAGCAGCGCCAGGCCGGCCAGGATACATACCTTCAGACACCTGGGGAGAGACAACAAGGACAGTCAGCCGAGAGGTGGAGCGGAGCGGCCGGATACACACCTTCAGACATCTGGGGAGGCACGGGGACAATCGGAGGGGGGACGTTCAATATGTACTGGTCACAAAAGCGGCGGCGTTATTAAAGGAATCGATAGATATAGCGGTGAGTGAAGTGAATTTGGCTGAAGAAGGGAACCGTCCGATCAATGTTTGAAACAAGACAGATGGCGATATATCTGAGGCAACAGTCTAGAATTTACTGCAAATTCCAGTGATCTATAGATCCTGACCAAGCCACAGGACATACATCCAGATTTGCGGCGCCAAGATCAAATTCTCACTTGTCATTCAGTATCAGAAAATTTATATCACCATTCCTCTGCCTTTCACCAATCCGGAACTCACCTGAGCAGCGGCAGTCGTCCGGTGACCAGTTCCATCAGCAGCAGGATACCGAGCAGCATGGTCAGCTCGGCCCTGAACAGCAGAACGGCGGCGCCCGACCACCACAGGAACGGGGTGTGCTCCTGACGCATCCAGCAGCTCACCGCCATCAGCACTGGAGGGTGGACGGACAGGCAGATGTAACTAGAGCACAGGGCAGTGCAGCAGGGGGCCGCGGGTAGATATAGGGCGAGTATAATTATTATGACTCTTCTTCACGTTTCAGAAAGCCCAAAATAACCCTGCAATCGGCACCCGCTAAAGCTCCAATGAACACCCGAGCCCATCTGTCTATTTCCTCCTCACATTGTCTAACCGTCCACCATATTTGAGCGCAGCGTTTAATCTTTTAGATCTGCAAGATATGAAATAAGATTACACAATCCCGACTCCGTGAATATCGAGCACTTACCGAGCGGCATGGCCATCATGTTGGGCAGGGCGCGGCTCAGGTAGAACATGAAGTGGAACTGGGTGACGGTGATGCAGACTAGCCACACGGCCACCGGACGGCCAAACACCTGTTCTACGCTCTGCCGGAATCGGTAGAACGCCGCCACCGAGACGGCGCCGAGCACAAACCGAACTGGGAACAGGTAAAGTCATCAGAGCAGAGAGCCAGTGGTAGCGGATGGGAGGGAGGGCTCGCTGACAGTTACGTCCCTAACCGGTAAAGCGGTGGAGCGGTTCCGTCATGTTCGCAACAAAACAATCATTTATTCAAACTACCAGACTCTAACTCAACTCAAGGCGATTCTCATTAATGCCGCAGATTTCAGCTTGCTAACGAACTCCTCAATCCTCAATCCTTGTGCCAACTTTTTTGCCATCAATAGACAGTGCCTTAAAGGTAGTGTGCCACCTTTGAAAGATTTCCCATTTTATTTTTCCTAGGATAAGAAGCTTCTGTTTTTACCTAATATCGCAAAAAAAATCAAAAATGGGCCTGGAATAGTGCCTTTTTCGCCTAAAAGTTTATCGGTTTTTAGATATGTATAACAACTGTAGTGGGCTCACCTGCAAACAGGCGTCGGGCAACAATCGCGAATGCGGCGCACTTGTGACAATAAGCAAAGGTCATTATAGTGTTACGACCATACGACGTACGGGAATGAGTTATCAGCTGTCTAATCGTAGACAACACAATGTCGAGCCTTAAACTGTAAGCCCGTATTGGTATTGTTTCTTTTATTTGGCTGTCGAACATTATTTATGGTTTGAAATATGATTTTATGTAAAATAATTGATATGAAAAAGCCGTCTTATAAGTTATGACCCCATTTCACCACACGTAAGTGCCAGAAATGACAATGATCAGCTGACGCATTTTTCTTGGCCGAAGTCAGAGCGCGCGGCCCGACGCACCACGCGTATTTGGAAATTCCGACCTCGACGAGCATCAGAAGCCAACTAACAGGCGTGTTCGAAACCGCAGGAGCTGATGATGAACGGGTTTATCGAAACTTGATTGGATGAGCATATCGGTAATAGCGATTTCAGTGTGTGCATTTATTGTTCATAGTGGTGTGAAATGTGGTTGGGGTACGACCGACAACCCGTCGGGGCGAATTTCGCACTGGGGTACTCAAAATTTGAAGAATTTAAGACGTTTCCATGAGTTTTGAAGGTATGGATAAGTTCTAAAAATCCGGTTCTCCTTATCTGGGTCATTAACTCCATACGGTCCAAGAAAGCTGGCACACTACCTTTAAAGGAAAAGTGCCACCTTCTTGAAATATGAAGATATCGTTGGTTTTTATTTTGACATTATTATTTTCCATTTTCTTTTCAAAACCGGTGCCAGAAGTGCATAATTCGCTAAAAAGTATTTCAAACTATTTAACATATTGGTACTATGTTTATACTCTCTACCGCAGCTACTGTATGATGTCATAGCAATGACGTCACACTCAAGCCAATCAGCCTTGAGGAGGATAGACTCGTCGGACTGTAGCGGTTGTAAACAACTTGTCGCCCCGTGTGTCTGCCCGTGGCGCTAGTTATCTGTCGAAGGTAAGGGTGAAAGATGGATATAATGGCCATGGAACGCTATTTTAGGATTATTGGTGAATAGCAAGAATATAGTTTTGGTGGTTTGAAATTGTTTGTCCTCAGTGATTGGCTTGATTCTCATTTTGCGGCATAAGCGGCTGTTTGGTTACATTGCATTTTTTATGATTGTGTAATTATTATGATTATGTTCCTCCAAAGTAGGCATCACATATCAATCTCAAAGGCAGATCATCTTCTTTTCATGCCTATAATTTTCTTCAGGAATATTAATAAAAAATATTCCATTTACCCCTGCCTATCATATATCCCATGGAGCTGCCGGTGGAAGTAGGCATGCAATGTGACCTAGCATTGGCGATGTGGTTAATTAGCTTTAAAGTACTATGGAATGCTAAAGGTCATCATTTAGAATGGTTTTCAAAACATTCCACTAGGAAATATTCATTGAAACCTGAAAATTACTTACAAAATGTAAATGTATAGCCACGTCTCAAGAGCATTCAGCCGTCTTCTCAGTAAATATATAATGAAACATAATCTTACCTGACCTAGCCTTACCTACAACCTACAACGTACGGCATTGGTAAAGCTGGCATCACTGTCAGCGTATATTAGTTTGGTAGGTTGTGGGTAGGTAGGTTGCAGGTCAGTAGGTAAGGTTAGGTTAGGTTAGATTATTTTTAAGATTCCTTTTATCTACACATTTACCGGTTAGCGCTGACGGTGACACCAGCTTTACCGATACCCAACCTACCACCTACAACCTACAACCTAAAACCTACATTCAATGGTGGCGGGTGGTGATAATTGTTATACCTATATGATAATACTGGAGATAAATACCATACAGATTAGCTGGTATCCATGACACACTTTCTTAAGAAGAAGGTCTTCTATTAAATCATGTCTATTTTATAGGAATGAAATGATTTTTGTTGTAGTCACATTCCCTACTCTGACCATCATGTCTGTTATTTCCAGTTACCACTGACAATGCCCAAAACAAGAACAACAAAGGCCCAAAGGTGGCTGTTTGGTAGTGCGCAAAGCTGCTGGTAAGTGGCATCAAAGGATAGGATGTTGTTGTTGTTATGGGTTAGGGCGCGTAGCAACTTGGCTCTTGCGTCCAACATCAAAGGATAGGATGTGCTTTGTTATTTCCAGGCACGTAGCCAGGATTTTGCTCGGGGGGGGGGGGGGGTCACAGGTTGTGGCCTAGTGTTGTACCCCCTCCAAAAAAGGAAAATTTCTCTGATTGGGCCCACTATTTTGGGGGTGTGTCACAGCTGTTTTTATTTAAAAAAAAATCGCCATCACCGAGGGGGGAAGGGGCACGAGGGCATGGCTCCCGTGCCCCTCCCCCCTCCTTGGTTACGTCCCTGGTTATTTCTGAGAGTTTGGATATCACAAAGCTTTAGATATAAATTAGAATGTAATAAGAAGCTTTCAGCATTGCACCTTTCCAGACACTGATAATTCATTTGCCTTTATTGTTTCAAAAGTCAATTTTCAACACAAAAAAAGTTGAAATTATTAACTCAAATAATTGCAAATATATACTTTGGTAATTTGCCTTTCGCATCACTATCAACAAAATAATCAAGGGTGACTAAATATGAAATGTTCCTGCATGATCTTCATCGTGAACAATTGTCAAGGTATGATGTTTGCGTGTTGAAATGTTATAAAGAACTTATGTCATAAAAACACAACTTGTAAAATTGTGTCTTTCCATATTATTCTGCAAGTAAGCCTTGGAAGGAAGAGACACTATTCCGTCCTACAGAAGCCATTTAGAAATGTGTGACATGTTCAGCACTTTGAGTCAGTCGGTGCCCGGACCTCAGTCGGCTGTATGACCGTCTCCTCGTCCTCTTTTGTCGGCTCCGCCCCGTGCTGTTCTATAAGGGTGTCTGACCCGCTGCCGCTATCCCCACTGTGAGGTCTGACCCGCCGCGCGCTGTCACCACTGTCGGCCCTCTGTGTGCGCGGCAGGTGGTGGTGGACGTCTCTGCCCTGACGCGCGGCGTGCGTCTGCTCAGTGTGGAGGTGCCGCTGACAGCGGTGCCGGCCGGACCGGCTGCCTCTCCGGCGGCCGACATTGAGCGCGGCACGTGTCCGCCGCCGTTCGGGCCGCTGCAGCTGCTGCAGTCGGCGGCGCAGCTGTCCGTCTCCGTGTCGCTGGCCGTGCCGCTGGACCTGCTGCCGCGGCCGGCGCCGGCGCGCTGCGCCTACGGCCGCCTGCTGGCCGTCGTCTCGCAGCGCGGCCTGCAGCGCAGCGGCGTGCTGCAGCTCATCCAGCAGCTCAACGAGCCGCCCAGCCCGGCGGCGGCCGAGGGCGCCGCGCCGCGCCGGCCCGGCGACGTCAGCACACCTGGCATCAGCGGCTTCTGCCTGGCCGACCGTCAGCTGCACCTGCTGTTCGCCGAGGGGCGCGCCGACGCCGAGCTGGAACAGACGGCGGCCGCGCCGCGCGCTCTGCCGCGCCGCGACGCTCGACTCTGCCACCACTCGGGCCAACTGTTTAGGGAGCGCCTGTACCCGCGCCAGCCGGCCGCGTTCCGCGTGCTCGAGGACCGCCCGCTACGCGCCCAGCTGCTCGACACCCGCCTCTACACGTTACAGAAACAGGAGCCGGCGCGCGCCGTCCGCGCCATCAGAGAGTGCTTCCGCACGCAGTGGCTGTCGGAAAATGAACCTGCTTCCCAACGAGGCCGGCCTGCAACAACTGCTGGCCGGCTGTTGGCCGAAAAAAAAAACGCCTTCAACCGGATGTCAGTTGTCAAATCAACGCGTATTAATGCATTCACTAGGATGGGCTTACGTAAAGCTGTAGAATTGCAAATATATAATGGCACTGTTTTTGATCCGTTCGGTATGCATTGGTATCATATGATCTCTCATTCACAGACGATCAGCTGCGAAGACCCAGATCCGTAGTAGAGGGCTCATCGAGTCCGGGTCCAGCTCCCCGTACTTCCTCCACTTTGGAAACACCGCAGCGCAGATCACAGTTATACATAATATTTAGTTTTCATTCACTTCATAACCGAAGGTTGTTTGATAGGTGATGTGCTGCTTGAGTTGCACCCCGGTATATCAATACGAAGCTTCCGTCCCTGCCACATACCAGTGAAGGAGGCGGCGGCGGCCGGGGCCGGGCTGCCCTGCCCACCGACACAGTCTGTGAAATGCCCCAACAACCTTTAAAATTCAACAGGCTTCATAAATGTTTTTTTGCACCATATTTTCTCGCGTATATGAAAGCTCTAAAATGTACAATATTCCTTTCAGCCACAAGCGATATAAAAGCTCTACAAAACGTCATGTCTCTGTGTGCAAGAAAGACACATATATTGTGTATAATCGAGCGTACATGATCTGCAGCGCTGCGGAGGGCTGCTCGGTTGCCGCTTTTTACCAGTCGGCTCTAGGTCGGACATATGGGTAAACAAAATGGAATAGTAATATTTAACAATGCTACCTGCTGATGCTACTGGGCCTCTCATTGGTGAAGAACTGGCAGCCAGCCAGCGTGTTTTTGTGAGAACTGTTTTAACAGCAGCAACCGAACGGCTCTCGGGCCAGCGACCAGTGAGCGTAGACAGCACAGCGCTCCGTTGGGCATCGGCGGGCAAGCACGCATTAGCTGTGGACGGACCGGCCGCCCGAACATATTTGTCGGTATCGAAAGTATCGTGAACCAAATGACTGCTAGCGAAAAAAGGACTGCCTCTCGTATCCATGAAAACATGTGTTCTACAAAAGTACATAATTGCTTAGTTGTCGCCAGTCACTCATTGCACCATGGCGTCAGTGTGGGGCCGCGCCCCGAATCATCTCAATCGCCAGGCAAAGCATCTCAATCGACAGGCACATGGTAGTCCAGCTACGAATCCGAGCCGCGGCATCCCGTCTATGTATCTACATTACACCACAATCGAACACTGTCGGGCCACCCGAGACAGCAGTCTCCAATGTAACATCAAAACCCGCCACTCGTCTAATATCAGAAAAATGAGCATTGAGTACCTACCGAATATCGACTACAGAAGATTACAATGGGGTGCAGATCTAGCAAGAGTGTCGCGGTTCGTCTCGGCACGGCTTACAGGCCGCCGAGCCCGCGCAGGTGACCGCCAGCTCCACCTGTTCCACCTCCGGCGCGGAAGCTCGATCACAAGACTGACCTCAGTCGGCGCTCTGTGCTCGGCACAGGGCGACCGGGTCAGGAGCGGGCCGCTGCCGCCAGGGCCGCGGCCACCAGCCACGCGGCAGCGCCCGCGCACCGGCCGCCACCGAGCAGCGACAGCAGCGACAGCAGCGTAGAATGGTGTGGTGGGTGACCGAGCAGCGACAGCAACCCAAGGCGTATACAGAATCTGTAAAAAAATCAGCACACCGTTACTACATGTTTTAATAAAACTTACCTATAGGGAGGTAGCATAAAATACAGATCAAAACAATAACATACAAACATACAGATATTCGGTTAGGTTGAAATGGCTAAAAAATATAAAAAATAAGGGCAAGGTACTAGGGCTGTAAAGCTGTAAGGGCTGGGTACTAGTAATAATTTTTGGCTAAAAATATCACAAATAAAGACTCTGCACTAAAGCTGTAATGTCTGGTACTAGGAATAACTTTAGAGTGAAGTGTTACTAAAGCAATATTCAAAGTCTTTTGATAACTTTGCAGGCATTTTCATCACTTTTAAAAAATAACTTACATTCTGATCCGGCACAGCACTGTTCTTTAGACGCAAACGTTTTTGACTGTGCTTATCATGGTGCGCACTTCTTGTTAAGTTTAAGTGGTCATGTGGTCTTGGCTCATTGGTCATGCCACACACCCTCATCCACTTTTCTCTGTACTTCTTTTTTTAGCGGGAACCTAAAAGTAAAAAAGGGTCAACACATGCTTAGTCCATGCAACACATACTCTGTGTATTAAGCTGAATAGCTCCACTGAGCCCAGTTTCACCAAGTGCGGTAAACTTAATTTTGGGGTAGTTTTTGTAGTTAAGTAGTGGGGTAGTTTGGTAGTTTACCCCAAATTGAGTTTACCGCACTTGGTGAAACTGGGCTCTGGTGAGTTTCCTTTTCTTGTCAGCACATAAGTGAAAGGAAACTGTGTAGACAAGAGATGAACCAAACCCCCATGGAAAGGTAGGTGTTACCACAACCAGGAAATGGGATTTGAAGGGCTGGATAAATGTGTCTGAGTTCTGCCTTTCAGCCAGACTGGAAAACATCCATACACTACGCCGGATGCCCGTGAGCCCCTCATGCGCCAAAATTTGAAGCAAGCAATTTTGAGCTGAAATTCCAGTGCATGATTTCCACTGAAAGTTGGGTGCCTGTTTGCACCAAAATTAAGCCACTTTTACATAAAGCACATGTGCATATCTACCGACCAAGGCTATATCAACCAGACAGATTGTTCCGGGGCCTCGGAGTCAGACGCTCTTCCCTTTCTGAGCGTCTGAACAATGTCCCAAAATTTGTCGATTTGGGTGGGTAAAGACATCCAAATGAAATTCATTTTCCACTCTCGCCACCAATTTTTAAGAACAATTTTCCACTCCCAACCAAGAAAATCTAGATTTTTTGCCTGTAGAAAGAGCAGTTGTGTGGATGCCCAGCTTAGCATCAAGCATCCTACACCTTAGAATCAAATGCATGCTTTTTGTTGTTTTTCACTCTTTTTGGATCTAATTAAATCAGCAGTTTTTCATTCTCTCTCCCCTATTTTTGGTGGGTAATTTTCCCCTCTGACACCCAAGACAAAACTCAATTTTGGGACACTGCGTCTGAATTAGTTAATGTTCCCATGAAAACCCAATACCACAATTTGTGTGGCACACTGTAGAATCTTAAGGTGAAACAAGGCCCAGGCCGGAAGTTCCGACTCTCTTCAGACCTGCCAGCGCCCGCAGGGCAAGTCTGCTGCTAGATTGACCACAGCATGTCAAAAAATTCGGTGACAGCCATTTGCATAAACATTATGCGCCATGCGGTCACCCTGCGCCTAAAAATTCAGCTGCCACCATGCGCTGAATTTGACGCATGCAAAATTATGCTGGATGTGCGATGAAATTTTCGGGGCAACGCCGCAATCACGCCACTTCGCATGACATATTCGGCATAACTTGCGTTTTTTTATCCAGTCTGGCATTTCAGTTGTGAAAGCCTGAACAGTTCAAAAGGGTTTGCTAATCCAGGGGAGAGTTCTGTGAAAACAAAAGTAATAGAAGAGCCATTGCAATAAATAAGAATTTAGGTACCTACCTAGGTACCTAGGTACTTACTTGTGCACAGTCACACGCATATCAGTCCCGACCCGACGTAGGTCGTTTGCTCCGCGGATCACGCACTTCTTCATCGTTATTATAGGTATTTGTTCGAACAAAAATGCCCTGATTTCGGATCAGAGCCACGGTATAAAATATGGTATACTGCCTTGCGTAAGATAAAAATGCATTTTAGCAATTGGCTACCAAACGAGATGTCATCTGTTCAGGGCATAGCATAGGTTTACTTTCATAGACCTCATGAAAGTAGCTCATGAAACTCATCACCAATCAGCGCGACGGATTTCAAGATTCGATTGCGGATGTTCATCCGCCGGCCGATTGCCAGAACAGACAACGAAAAATAACGCAACTGCTCGTGGTCTGCTCGCTAGTACAGGGATCCGTGCCTGATCAGTACTGCTGCAAGCTGATTGGTTAAAAACCAAAGCCTCGCCGCGGGTGGCTGTATTGTCGGATAAGAACGCATTCCTGGGATAAGAACGCATTCCTGGCATATTTTCTTTTAAAATTGCCGATAACTACGAATGGAGGCCGAAATCGGCCGTAAGGAGGTAGACAGAGAGGTTTTCGGACACGGGCTACAAGATGGCTATCTCAGTTTCAATCCCCATGTTAAAGGTGGCCCTTTTCCTTTAACTTTGCTGCTCGTTCCCAGGCCAGCTATGAAGATGGGCTGGTGTTGAACTGGAGTGAGTCACCAAAACTTTTGCATGCATATATAAGAACAAAAAAAAAAATGGCACCTGTTAATGTCGGACCCTTACGGACAGTGGATGGACGTGTGTGCTCTGATTCACAGGAAATGTCTGAGTGCCTAGCTGAAGCGTTCGCCTCTATATACAGCTCTGACATCCCGCCAAACCAGGAACCTCACCAGCGGAGTGACCGAAGGCTGGCTCCCCTGATCTTCACAACAGCTGACGTGAAAACTCTGTTATCGCGCATAGATGGAAACTCAGCCATGGGTCCAGATGAACTGCATCCACTTCTGCTCAAAAACTGTGCCGATGTGCTATCTTATCCTTTATTTAAAGTGTTTTCTCGCTCCCTGGCTGAAGGTTCTGTTCCCGATGCCTGGAAGGAGTCAACAGTGGTGCCCATCTTTAAAAAGGGAAGCAGATACGACCCCCTAAATTATCGTCCAATTAGTCTAACATCAGTTTGCTGTAAAACCATGGAACGACTAGTTTGCAGCCACATCACAGAGTTCCTCGAGAGCAACAACCTGCTATCTGACAATCAATTCGGTTTCAGAGCTGGTCGCTCTACAGTGGACCAATTACTGCTGGTTTATAGTGAAGTATCGGAATGTGTTGACAATGATAAACTGGTAGATGTGGTGATGTTTGACTACTCTAAAGCCTTTGATGTTGTATGCCACCAGATACTCATTGAAAAACTCCACAGGATAGGGATCCAGGGGGAAGTGTTGAAGTGGGTAGAAGGCTTTTTGACGGACCGAACGATGCAGGTCTGCGTAAAAGGCCAAAAAAGTAGACCCCGACCGGTAAGCAGTGGTGTACCACAAGGCTCTGTTTTGGGTCCACTATTATTCCTGATTTACATAAACCATGTGGGGTCCGGATTGAGATGCAATTACAAGATATTTGCGGATGATTTAAAAATGTATGCTAGTGCTCAAAGACGCAGCAGCGATTCTTCTCTAAGTGACTACGAAGCAGTGGTGCAATCAGATATTGATACACTGAGTCTTGCGTCCCAGTCTTGGGGCCTACATGTAAATGTCGACAAGTGTGCTGTACTTCGTTTCTCGAGGGGACACAGAGAAGCCCCTCCCGCCCAGTATACTCTGAACGGTAAGACACTACCGACCCCTAAGTCGTATCGTGACCTGGGGGTCGTGGTTGACACCGCATTGAAATTCCATGAGCATATAGACGTTCTGGCACATAGAGTCTCGGCGCTTTGTCACAGTTTCCTCAAGTCCATTGTATGCCGCACTCCTATAGTAAACTTATGCTCTTCCTTCTAACAACCCATATCCGACCCATCTTGGAGTACGGCTCCTGTCTCTGGCACACCGGGTATGTGGAGGACTTACGGAAACTTGAGCGTGTACAAAGGCGATGGACCAAACGCATCGAAGGTCTGGGTGACCTCTCGTACGAACAGAGACTGCGCGAACTAGAATTGTTTTCCATTCAGGGACGCCTTGTCAGAGCAGATCTAATACAATATTGGAAAATCTTTCACGGAGCTTCAATAATCACTCCGGATTGTATGTTTGCACAGTCGCAGTGTTCTGTCACGAGAGGCCACCCATACAAAATCAATGTATGCCGTGCTCATACCGAGATCAGACAGCGATTCTTTTCCCAACGATGTGTGAAACTATGGAATAGCCTCCCAACCGAAGTTGTCACTGCCCCAAACATTCATCTGTTTAAACGTGGTTTGGCCACGGCCATCCCAAACAGATTGTTTGCCTATGTGTAACATGAATAGGATGTACTCTGTATCATTATGTTACCTCGCTGGTTTTTGTTGCTATCGTGATAATGTCACTGCCATTTTGTTTGCAAGCGCTAATTCCAGTTAATACTATTGTCTGCCTGTTCACCGTTACATTTTTATCGAACTGGCGCGCTTTATGTTATATGGGTTCCTTATCTATCTTTTCACTTGCCTATATCCTATCAGACTGCTAAGTAGGCGGGACCCGACAAGGTGAGTTAACAAGGTGAGTCAGTCCTCATCACTCAACACGTCCTTCGCTGCATAGTTTCACTTACCCAGCAGTTGTACGGCGAATTTTCCAGCAAAGGGCGACAGTATGGCGGCTCCGGGGGCCGAGAGGACGGCCAGAGCCAGCGGTCCGAGGAAGGTGCGCGGCACCACGCCGGGGAACTCCAGGTGGTCGTACTGGGGGCACACACAAATACTGCAGTTAGGAGACATGGGCAGTGCAGTCAGAATTCGGGAGTCGGGAGGCTGATTTCTCCGCCTCCTGGTACCGTCATCGCACAGCCAGTCTTTATAACGGACTTGGTGATTGGGGTTTACAGCCAATACGCGTCACTTATACCGATAAACGCTCGATGCGGCTTATCGCATCCAGAAAACATGCACCTGTGTGAAAACATCGAGTTCAGCTCTGGTCTTACCAACACGCCACCGACACTTCCCGGGCGTGTGAGACCGTCGCCGATCGGACTCGTCCTCGCACCTGTCTGAAGTCAAAGCGGTGGTAGAGGATGTCGTGCACTGCCTGCATGTTGAAGCTCTCCTCCACCTTGGTGAATGGGCAGAGCGCCAAGTGAAGCAGCACCGTGGCCAGGACGGCGCACTCGATTGGCAGAGCCGGCAGGCCGGGCCGGTCTCCGTCCTCGGCCACTCCCGGCTCGTCAGACTGGTGGGGAACGGTGAAAGTGTCGTATCAGATTATGACTTCCATGCTAATAAATAAGCACCATCATTTCAACAACAAGGGTTAGAGAGCAGAACTTGACACTTGACAGCAATTAATGCAAGCAACCAATTGATGTTAATCAAAATAAAGGTAGCTTCATCAACTGTCCAAATGGATCACACCAGCAGCTTTAAGGCTTTTACAATGTGGAATGCTAAAAATAATATAAGTATATTTCTGGGTCAGAAAATCAAATCAAATGACAAGTCAAATGGCAAATGACACTTACCCTGTCCTTCTTCATGATGATACTACAATGTCAATGCATATGTAATTAAAACAGGCACTGAAGCTATCAGAAGCTAAGACTGTATGATAATATCTGATTATTCTTTCATCTTGCTATTGTTTCATGGCTCCATAGAAATCACCTGACAATAAAAGAAAATGACTAAAATGAAATGTAATTTTTTGTGTCGCTTAGGACGTGCTTAGGACGCGTATTTACAAATTGCAACCGAGCTCCGCCGTGGGGTAAGGTGGGCAGGGGTTTTTGCACTACGGCTGCGGTTGAACTACCGTCTGTGGTAGAAACTTCAGGACGATGGCGCGTTTCATACGAAATCTGGCGCAATGTTTGTTTGCTTCTGAACTTGTATGCTAAACCTATCATTTTCCTTCATCTGCTTAGTTTCCCTCTGCACCATCTGGCTGCAACCGATTGCAACATCTACTCGATCGAGACAAGAATGGCGCACTGATGACAACAACTACGGACGCTTGAGCCCAACGAGGCTATGCGCCCTAACCCAACAAGTACAAGTAAGTTCTGAACTTGTAGGTACTGTTATTGCTGTGAATTCTTGAAGTGGGAGTGTTTCAATAACAATTTGTGGATTATTTGAGTTTCTTTATATAAACATAGAAAAGTATTATGAAATATTTTGTGGAAACTGCAAATACTGATATGATCAATTACTTAGTTTGGGAATTGATACACATTTTGTAGAGATTTGTCTGGCAAATGGTGTAACAAACCTCAAGCCTATCATGATCTGAAGCTGTTGCAACAAATCAAAATTGCTTTGATGTTACATAGTACCTTGTTGGAAACACTGGAGCATGGTTCAAGATGATGCGTAAAAATTCAAGATTTGTGCGAAAGCTTGTGACTGAAGAACGAAAACAGTTCGACATGATGGCTCAATCAAACGTGGAAATGGACGACAAAAGTAGAGTTTCAACATTCCAGCATGTGAGAATAACTTCAGAAATTCATAGTTCTTGTAGTATTGCATTCTTCTTATGTACAGTTATAGGTTTTGTTAGGGTATTTCAAATTCATTGTGTCAGTTGAGATAAAGATGGATTGCGGAAAAAAATCAGAATCATTGCATGGTAGCTAGGTACTTGTTCGGTAAAAAGGTATGTGATGAATGCCATGAGAAGGTTTTTTATTTCATATATGGCCGTTGTTGTACCTACAAAAATGCAAGCTTACTAGCAACTAGTTTCTGAATCAGAATCAAATCGAAAGTATTTGCCATGAATGTAAATATGTACCTGCAAAGTATGTCAATAAATTTGTGTGATGTTGACCAGAGAGTTTTATCATCTGGGCATTTACGTCGCTTCTTACGTTAGGTGTTAAGCATAGTAATTACGGATGAACTTTGTGCCAATATCTTCAATGCACAATGTATGTAGCATGTCTACAACCCTCACTGATCCTGCTATAGCTATAGGCATTTGGCACCAGCTTGACCAAGGGCATGAACTTCACAGTTGCACAACCTTTTGTCATGTACCACCGTCCACCAGTCACTTTTTTACTTAAGGTGCACATAGCAATGCACACAACAATGTGCAGAGGGCTTACACAAAAAACAACATGAATAGTGTGCACTATGCACAGCATTGTGCCTTGATTATTTGAATATTTTGACCACTTAACAGTCAACAGTCAGGAGATAATTATTGAGTATCACATTTATTATACATCACTTGTCAAACAAGAGCATGATGACACACATTTTGACAAGCAATCATGGTAGTATTCCAATAAGTTGGACTGTCACCTCCCTGGGCGTCATTTTCCCAGGAAGGTACCTCTGCAGGTGTTGTGGTAGGCTAGGTTGAATTGGGTTAAGTTAGGCGAAGTAAGGTGGTTAGGACCAGGCCAGACCGTAAGGACTGGTCAGGTTGATTTTAATCTTTCATTCTAATTTGACATAGATACCTATTACCTATGTATTTGCTCCAGCCTGAATTTCATTAGGTAATGAGTTAATTTTGCTTTGTTTTTATCTGTCTTGTTTTGTGTTTTTGTCCCTTATATTTTGCCCCATAGGCAAGGGTGGAGCTTTTCCAGGGAAGGTGGTGGAGCATGATTGGAGGCGCTCAACCAGACGGCATAGGAGGGCACGGTTTCTGAACGCGCACTGATGCCTGATTCAAGCCACGATGTCTTCATGCGGGGCGGCGCGCTACTTAAAAGTCCCTAAAAGAACGGGAAGTGATGCCGATAGAACCTTCAATCATTCTGGGCTAACGCTTATGACTTGGGAAAAGTCGCGATCCCAATTCAATCGAAAACCTGTGGGCTCTTGTTCAGCAGGAGGTGCATGAAGAGCCACCCGCCATAAGCACTGCTCCACCGCAGGCACAGGTTTAGACGGCGTTGGCCCGCATCAAAGCCAGTGTGCTGGAGAATTCATTGGCTGAAATACTTCAGAACATTCACCACTGTGTTTTTATGAAAGGTGGCTACAAGCTCAGTTAAAAGAAAAAGTACCAGATTGTTTTGCTTTTTAATTACAGCTGCAAGAAAGGTGTCCGGATAATTTCGTTACACCCCCTGTAATGTTCAAATGGTTGCTTAATTCGAAATCAGCTCCAAAAACTAGCCTAGAAACATGTAAAACTCGAAAAATGAACCGAGGTCATCAAAGGTCATTGAGCTGACACGGTTCGTCGGAAGGTCATCTCAGGCTCAAAAGAAACGGTATATACCATTCGAAAGCTGACGGAGAGCTGAATCCAAAAATGTAATTTTTATCAAAATCGATCGATGGCCTTTTTTGAAAATTGCGTTTTTGTAAAAACTTAATAACCTTTTATTCAACGGGCTGTCCCGGACATTCTTGAAAACATAAACATGCATTATTGAGTTCCAGTGAAAGCTGAACGCCAAAAGAACAATATTTAGCGAAGCAATATTTCCAAACATTAATATGCGTCTCCCACAGCCGAAAATAAGGCGCAATCACACAACTCAGTGTCACGATGGACCAAAGTCAGCCACACAGAAGCGTGAAATGACCCTTATCGACTCGCAGACCTGGCGCTCTCGGCCCGCCTGACCGGCCACGAAAAGAACGTTCGGCTCTCGTTCTACTAAACAAATGTCATATTTGTCACTTTAACTGTCCACATCGCTATTAAAGTTATTCAGGATACCTGGGAAGAAAATTCATTGTTCTGCTTGATTTACAACATGCTTTAATTTACATTTTTCTTATACATGTTTTGTTCCATCCAGCTGCGATCAGTGCCCGCGCAGGGGAAGTGAGCGGGGTTTCACTGTCAGAGGTTGTACTGGTGACAGCTGCTCGGCCGTGCGACCGGTCAAAGGTTACCCTGCCCCGCCGGGCGCTACCACCACTCCACCCGAGCTGAGGCCGGTGCAACCTCTGACATTTCAGCGCGGCCAATTTTCCTTATATGGGCATGATACCAAGCTCAATTGAGCACAGTAGACATGAACAAATGCAAATTAATGCATGATGTGAAGATGACAGAACAATGAATTTTCTTCACAGGTATCCTGAATAACTTTAACAGCGATGTGGACAGTTAAACTGACAAATTTGACATTTGTTTAGTAGAACGAGAGCCGAACGTTATTTCCGTGGCCGGTCAGGCGGGCCGAGAGCGCCGGGTCTGCGAGTCGATAAGGGTCATTTCACGCTTCTGTGTGGCTGATTTTGGTCCATCGTGACACTGAGCTGTGTCATTGCGCCTTATTGTCGGCTGTGGGAGACGCATATTAATGTTAGGAAATATTGCTTCGCTAAATATTGTTCTTTTGGCGTTCAGCTTTCACTGGAACTCAAAAATACATGTTTATGTTTTCAAGAATGTCCGGGACAGCCCGTTGAATAAAAGATTATTAAGTTTTTACAAAAACGCAATTTTCAAAAAAGGCCATCGATCGATTTTGATAAAAATTACATTTTTGGATTCAGCTCACCGTCAGCTTTCGAATGGTATATATCGTTTCTTTTGAGCCTGAGATGACCTTCCGACGAACCGTGCTGACCTGACCTTCAGGTGACCTTGACACCCACCCTAATGCATGGGACCAGCATCATATCACATGTTTCAACGGTTGAAACCACGTGAAGACTGCAACCGCGCGGCTAATGCGAGCACGGCCTTGATGCGAGCCGACATACGCCGAATCGCGATTCGGGCCAATCATGGGCTCGAGAAATAGGTCACAGGTCAAAGGTTATTTGGGTCAGGTCATGAAATTTTCAGAGTAGGTGTAAAATTGATAAAATCGGGGGCATTGAAAGTTTCGTCGCCATCGGACGGTTTTTACGCGAGTTACTCACGAAAAACCGATAAAACGCACCCAAAAAGGCAGAAATATGCACATGCGATATCCTATACTGCGAAAAAAGTGTATCATTTTTTAACGTCGCCGACAAATTGTAATTACCCTAAGCTCAGGCGGATGTATGGTAGAAAATCCCCCAAATGAAATACACTACGGCGGAAATAAAATACCCTACGGCGGAGCTCGGTTGCAATTTGTAAATACGCGCTTAGGACCTTGTAACTGCAACAAGCACGCCATTATTGTAATTTACAAATAGTGATGTTGCAAGGTTTGGTCTGTCACAAGTACCTGTTTCATTAAAATGATTGGATGTTTCAACAAGTGCGAGAAAATAGAACCAATTTGAAGTGTTTTTGACTACATAAGATATGTGCTGGGCGGTTTTGGATTTTGTTTGTGAAAAATGCACTTTTTATAATAATTTATGTGGTACTTGTGCTTGCCATTGGCCGAAACATCACTAGATTTAGGCATCAAGTATCCGAAGTGGTGACGCGGTCCGTAAACACACGAGAGGGTCGCGGGTCGCGGGGCAGGAGGGGAGGTTACGGATGTTTCCAGTAGCTGTATTATCCAAGATTCTAACTGTCTTATAAGGTAAGTACAATAACAATTTGCTGGTTGGGTCGGGTTGAGTTGAGTCATAGATGCGTAGCAGTGTCACTACGATCAAACTGTACTGATGAGCATGGGTGGAGCCGGTGGAGCCTAGTCCGACTTCCGAGGAAGTTGGTGGGGCAAAAAGTCGTCAAACCTTCAATGTTAGATTGTCAACTTGAATAAAATGTCTAACTAAAACAATTCCTATTATTCTGGAGATAATCTTTGAATTAAACATGGACATTCAAAAGTTTGTCAATGCGATAAAAATTGATTTGTAAAGCAACAAAGTCCTACAAATGGGCTGAAGTTGGTGGGGCAAAGTGCTTATTGGTGGGGCAAAATGGCAAGTTGGTGGGGCAGCTGCTCCACCAACTGTATAGGAAGCTCCACCCTTGCTGATGAGTGATGATTCAGGCTGGCCGCTGGGGCGCTGGGCACTGGCGACTCCAAAGCAAAAGGGAGGATAATTTGAGTTTTTACCATTTTTTGTGACATAATTTTGGCATTTTCCTCGCTATAATAGCATAGGGCAACTTTTCTGGGGAAAGGAATATTTTGCTATAGACAACAAAGCATGAGAAACTGACATTTTTGTAGTTTTGGTCATTGAGATGTAATGTCATGGCATGATGTACAGATGCCCATCCCATGTTAAAACACGTACCTAATTTATCTTGGTTTGCTGGGGATTTTTTAAGTTCTCTTGCAAGACAATTCAATGCCGGTCCCGTAGCTCAGTTGGAAGAGCGTTGGACTCCGCGTGGTGAGAGCACGCGTTCCCGGTTACAACAGTCCGGGTTAGAAGCGCGAGGGGCGCTCGACATTTATGGGCCTCTTGACAGGTATGGTTGCGGTTGGTGGCAGGCCGTAGCCAGGCGAAGTCAGTGAGGGGACCGGCCGTGCGCGGCTATGTGCGGACGTTAAACTTTGGACTCTAAATTCTGCCATAGAACTGGAATTGCGCGATCGGAGGGTAGAGGGCAAGGTCACCACAACAAGCTTCGCTTAGCGGTGGCTCTGTCCTTGTGAATCCTTCCTATCAAAAGGTTCGAACTAAATGTATAAAAAAATGTTCATGATTGACCGAAACAGCATTCTTCTTTGAGGGAAAGTGAGAAAGTTGATTTTCCTGTTCTGTCTGTAGGTATACCTACAGGCCTGATCCGCCTTCACACAGATCCTTAGGTCCAGTGACATGTCCCTAGGGCACTGCCTCCATTTTTGTCACGGAGCAGCCCTCTGACCTTCCAGGCCCGAGAAATCGGGATGGCCCCAGCGTCCACAGTCACACCAATGTCACCGGTGGGTGACAGGAACTAGGAAGTGTGTGGTCAAGGCTGTCCCGCTTAGCGGGTGCCGGAAACACTTTGTACCACTCACCACTGCTGTGTATATTCTGTACTAACCCAACTACGACAAAAGCCTGGGTCAGGCAACAAAAATATTTATGAAAAAATAATGAAGAGAAATTAGACAGTTATTGGACAGAGTCCTGACTCATGCTGCCACGTCCTCTGATGGGCTCGCTGTTGTCCTTTTCCACAGCAGTTCCACAGCTGTCTGCCACTGGCACTGAGTTGTCCTCGCCATGGTGTACTGGTTCTACAACCGGCGCGACCTCAAGGCCACGCCATCGGCTCAGGATGGGGTCAGTCAGGAGACGGAGATGCGGTACCGGCGCGAGGGCGCCCGGTTCATCATGAACCTGGGCAGCAAGATCGGCCTGCGCTACGACACGGTGGCCACTGGAGTGGTGTTCATGCATCGCTTCTACATGTTCCACTCGTTCAAGGAGTTTGACAGATATGTGAGTGATGGGAAGGTTGGGGACAGGCGTGGGGAGGGGCCAGGGCCGATCTGGTGGGGGCTGGCGTGGTTGGATTCAAACGGGCTACGATTTCCGATGTTAATGACTATCTTAAATGGCTATGCACTTTGTAAAGAACGTAGATTGGTGAATGTCAACATTTGACAGTAAACCCAAGCACACTGCTCCCTGCTGCCGGCGCCCGGCGGTATGTCCAGCTGACCGGTACATCTTACACCGCAGGTGACGGCCTGCTGCTGCCTCTTTTTAGCCGGAAAGGTCGAGGAGACGCCCAAAAAGTGCAAGGACATCATCAAAGTGGCCAAGACGCTGCTGCCTGACACCAAATTCACCGCGTTTGGCGCCGATCCCAAGGTGCGTTGTTCGAAACAACGTGTGTGTGGTGAAGTTGTTATTCTCTGGATTTTTCACATTGTTGTGCTTAGAAGCTGGAATGGAACATATTTGAAATGTTGGAGCCATTTATATCTATTTGATGGCAATCCCATTCGATAAAACTAGCGTTTCTGTGTCGCTAACTACCTGCATCAGCTCAGTGATGATAGAATGTTTGTCCACTGTGTTACGATGCCACATCTGTGTCGCGCCACGTTTGTGCCGCTGTCTATAGGCGTTACTAACCCACCTCCCCCTCTCCCCTAGGAGGAGGTGATGACTATGGAGCGTATCCTCCTCCAGACCATCAAGTTTGACCTCCAGGTCGACCACCCTTACACCTATCTCATCAAATACGCCAAGTGTCTCAAAGGTGAGGACTGCCGCGCTGGTCCTGCGACTTTATATGGAGCTGAACACAGTGGGCTCTAAATGTAACGACAAACGAGCCGGTTACAGATGTCTTTCAGTTCATTTTTTCGTTTTTTTTACGGCCCTGTCTCCGTACTGAGTCGTAACATAGTTCTCCGTGCTGCTATCAGCCGTTTTCCCTGTCCTTCTCTCGAACCCCCGCTCTGTGATAATCCTACAGTCTGTCCGGCAGGCGACAAGGTCAAACTGCACAAGTGTGTACAGATGGCGTGGACGTTCGTCAACGACTCGCTGTGCACCACACTCAGTCTGCAGTGGGAGCCGGAGATTATCGGTGAGTTCGACAACGAACAGGGTGTCTGGGGATATGAACGCCTGAACACTTGAACAGCACTCAGACCACCATCCAGCCTGGCGTAGTTTGTGGATGGACGTTTGAGAAATGATGAAAAGATAGTCGAACAGAGAATGAAAAAATGGAGATTATGCTTTAAAAAAATGCGCATCTCCTAGTCGTTCAGATGTGTGATTGTTTCAAAGGCTCACATTCCATATATGACGTATGATAGGTGACGGAGGATGTTCGCGGTGGTTTGAACCCTCACTTTCGGTCTTGGCTCTCTATGCATAATCGTGCCACAATGATTACGTGCGAGCCAGCACAAATCTGTCGATCATCCCGCCTGTTCAGTTGAGTCCGATATGGCTCGGTCTAATCCAGTGCGGTCCAGCCCAGTCCAGTCGGTACAGAAGATACACCGATCCCACTCGCTCCTCTGGTGCCGGCGGACGGGGTTCGGAGCGGGGTGCTCTATGCTGCCACCTACCGTCGCTCCCGTTCGTCCGTCCGTCCCCGATCAGTAACCACACTGGCCTGAACTGGTGCGGTTTGAAGGCTCGTCAACGTGCGACTCGTTTATCCGGATAATGGAACTTGGTGTCCGGGTGGGCTAAGTTGGGTTCCTTTTTTAGCAATCTCGTTGACAGTAAATGAACTCAGGCCGTCAAGTCGTCATTAGTTTCACATGTTACTGTCGCGGCAACTGCAGTTTTGTGAGATCTGGTGACGGCTGTCAGTTGCTCGAAAGTCTTTCATGGCCGCAGCACTTTCGCGAGATCCTGTCACAGTTCCACTGAACTTTCCTGACGCCACTCATACCGGACTTATCGTGACAGGCCAGTCAGGCTGCCGGTCGGTTCCTGTAATGCCCGTATATCTGTCCACCTGGCGACGGGATACTCGGGTTGTCATATGCCCTTGTGCTGGTATATTCGTTCCAGTCGCCCAGTGCAGTGTGATATCCAGTCTCCATGTTGCCATTGGTTAGTCTTCTCTGGTGTGTTTAGGTATGTACCCGTTGTGGCTTACTTTTTTCAGTCGTTGTCTAGCAAATACTGTCACTCGCTGGGTGGCCAATTCCAATGGTGCATTGCCGCGCTGATTCTCAGAGAATTATACATAGCCACCCATCTCTCTATCTTCTCCTCGCTGTCCGGTTGAATTGTCTGACGATCACCAGCGAGCGTGGCACAGCGCTACCTGTATAATTGTATTTGTGACGTGACCATGCCTCACATATTAGGGACCGTCATTATCACACTTTTTGTGCTCTGATCGTCATCATCTGCCGAAAAAAAAACACTATTTCTTTATCATCTTTCGGACGTATTTGTTCACGATTCGGCAACATGAATACCAGCAAATGTAATAGAAGCGGACACCGTGCAATGAATGCGGACGTCGCGTCCGTGTGGGGCTGTTTGACATTCTCTGGCCGCGTCCTCGGTAATGACAGTCCTGGGTGTCCGCGTCTCCGCGGCGTCTCGTCAGTGGGCACCACCCACTCACCTAATCCCGCAGCTCTGTCGGTGGGGCTTGGGATGGTGGCGTATGTCTTCTGTCGTGCCTCATCCCTAGATTTGGCGGTTTTTCTTTCTTTTCCAATGGTAATTGTTTCATCAATGATAGTGGTCTGTTATTAAATATGTAAGTGTTAAGTCTGATCAACATGGTTTGCTTTCAACGTCTGTGTGAGCCTTCGAGATCTGCTTCGTTTAGTGGTGATTCCTGCACTTCCACCGCCGCGATCGGATGACCTTGACCGGGCCAGCTGTCTAAGGACGAGCTGTGATTGGTCGTCGGTAGGTCAGTTTTCTGAATGTCCGGTAACAAGCTTGTTGCGGACGTCTCTGGCTTTCTTGTGTGGACTGTATAGTGTTTGTTACGTCTCGCAGCATTCGGGTTGGCGGCCGAGGGAAATTGTGAGAGGATGTAGGATTAATAGAGGCAGTGAACGAATAATGAAGAAGGGAAGTATCTAATCGGTAAATAAATAAACACGGATGAATAATTTACGGATCAAAGGTTCAACAGCGCCCGTCTCAGAGCGCATAAGGAGCACACCTCGCGGCATGCATGTTGGGTTGTTCAACAGCGCCCGTCTCAGAGCGCATAAGGAGCACACCCCGCGGCATGCATGTTGGGTCGTTCAACAGCGCACGTCTCAGAGCGCATAAGGTGCACACCTCGCGGCATGCGTGTTGGGTCGTTCGACAGCGCCCGTCTCAGAGCGCATAAGGAGCACACCTCGCGGCATGCATATAATGTAGGATGACAGAGGATTGATAGGAATAGTGAGTAGACCCGGCCACCGTGAGAACTGTGAGCTGCGCGCCGCTCTCCTTTCCTCCACTCGCCACTTCGGTTTCACTCACACCACCACCACTTAAACACAGTCTTCTAAATAGAAGAGTTCGCTATTGACCGAAGACGGCGAGATGGCAGCAGTACAGCACAGACACAGTAGTTAGAAAAGTTAGACGTGAGCGGCAGCAGAGCGCCGCCGTCCGCGTTTGAGAGCGAAGTGAGCTCGTCGGCGACTAACAGTGAAGTGAGACCGAGCAGAGCCCGGTATCGGTTCAAATACACGGCCAAAATGTCACTCGATACAGGGGTCGTGACACAGAGCACAAAAAAGGCGGCCGGCACGCCGCGTCCCCTCACACACCCCTCCAGTTCCCAGGCCCAGGGCCCCGCCTGCCCCATTCGGAACAGGTGACAGGTCAGCCGGGTCGCAGGGTCACAGGGGGACGCCAGTCCACCGTTCGCGGCGTCGATATGGCCCATTGCTTCTGTCTCAGAAAAAAGCCATGCGCGGCGACAGGTGGCCGCTGGGCGGGCGGCGGCCCGGCTCGGCGGCGGGACCGGCGGGGCGAGGTGACGGGCGGCGCGGCGGCGGCTCGTCTCGGCATCGGCGGCGCGACATTTGCCTAGTTTGTCGGCAACATCACTCCCCCCTGTGTTCGGATGTACGTTCCGAACACACCCAAAATGACCGACAAACTTCTCACACGCTATTCCTATGACTACTCACTAGTAAGCGGCACACATGGACATCAGACATTTGCCGAGCGAATAAGCCAAGCCAGACCAGGCCGACCAACACGGCGCTCGCTCGCCATGCGTTGACTTTTCTCCTCTCGATTCGTCTCGTTCTCAGCTTCAATTCACTTGTGGTCCTCTACTTCATCGTCCCCTTCCTTCTTCGTCTTCCTTCATCTTCTCGACATCCTCCTTCTCCCCGTCTGCACAGGTTCACTTGCATTCCTCTTCTCAGAAGCAGATCCTGGTGGCTGGTCGCGTGTGCAGTTTCGCGATAGCCGTTTGAAGCTCGGCCGACCGGACTCTGCCACCCGCTGCCGGCAACACGCGGCAGATGTGGGCCAATGGACATGAGCCCCGAGACATGTTTGGTTCTGCCTCCAGCACTAAGTCCACGACTTGCAGGACTCTCTGCTCTTTGCGCCACTTGCTCCTCGGGATGAGAGTCGGTACGTACTCTCTTGTCCACCTCTTCCACACATGTTCCGCCACGGCTTGGACATGCTTCCATCGGCGTCGGCTGCAGCATGTCTCTGTCTTTCCCGAGTCCTGGCGTGAGATGCCTCGACGCGCCACCGAGCAGAAAATGATTTTGCGTAAGAACTTCTGGGTCTGGCGGCTCCGAGCTGACGTGGATCAGGGGTTGATTGTCAACCATGTGCTCAACTTCAGTGGGCACCGTCACAAGCCCTTCGTCTGTGAGCGCCTGTGGACCCACCACCTTCTTCAGCGTGCTCTTCACCGATCGCACAATTCTTACCCACACTCCCCCCATGTGGCTAGCAGCCGGGAGGTTGAAGAGCCGGTCAAGTTCGAAGACAATGAGCTTTCCTGCGATCTCTCTTTCCATGGCTTGCAGCTCCGCCTTTAGCTCGAGACAGCTTCCCACGAGGTTGACGCCGTTATCGGAGAGGATAACTGATGGTCTCCCTCGCCTTGCGTCGTGGTGTGGTGACAGCGGAAGCAGATCACTCTTCCCAGGTAGCTCGTTCCCCAGCGCCCGACTGTGGGTTTCCTCCGGATTGCTTGTCCTCTGCACCCGTTTGAGTATCCAGATTTCGGCATCCCTGAGTTCTTGGGCACTGAGAGGTTCGCTGAGACGCGTTTCATCGTCTGAGGCGCATATGGCTGTGCTGTGAGTAAAACGTCTCACACAGGCCGCCGCTCGACGGTACTGGAGCCAGTACGAGCTCTTCATGGCGTCTGGTAGCACAGGCTGTCGTTGCGTTGTGAGTCCCGCGAAGTTCTCTTCCTTCACTGCCTCTTGTCCTGGTCTGAGCGGGCTTGCGTCTTGCTTTGATAGCCGGTTTTCCTCATCTTGCCACAGAAGACTGCGCCCGCGGAGCCGATTGCAGTCTGGCGCTAGCTCAGACGCGGGCAGCTCTCTTGAGCAGTCGTCTACAGGATTCAGCGTTCCTGACACGTGACGGCACTGCTCCTTTCTGGTCAGGTCGTAGTTGCGTTTGAGTTTTCGTTCCGTGGCTTCGAGCCGTTTCATTGCGATCCTTCTGTTGTCGGGGAGCTCCCCCCGGTCTTCCTTCCGCAGCATGCCTGTTTCATACCTGTCCGGAGGCTCTTTTGTTTTGCCTTTCAGGATTGACAGCGCACGCTCATCCTCCCTGGACTGTTCTACATGCTTGTCGTACTTGGTCCCAAAAGCCTCCGTGCACCAGTCCTTCACGGTGGTTGCTAGCTCGTCGTCGCTGCTCTGGGCGTTGCGTTGCAGGAACATAACCTGGCGCAGGCTGCTTGGCTCCACTGCTGATATGGAACCAGCTAGTGCCCATCCAAACCCGGTTCTTATAGCTGCTGGCTGGTTGGAATGACCCTTTCGTACTTCCTGTTGGAGAACAGCTTCCAGCACGTTCCCTCCGAGCAGCAGTTTCACTTCACCGCCATCATACTGCGGAAATGCTAGTCCACGGAGATGTTTGCATTGCCTGAGTTGGCGG